ATTTCAAATTTTATAGAAAAAATAGATTGTGACTAACAGTGGAATTGTGGACGTACGTTTCGTCCTTTTTTTGGGGACAATTATTTATGGTCAATTATATTTTGTGCATGAATACAAGCTATTGAATTATCACTGATAATTTATCACTAAGATTTTATGCATCAACAATATATTAAACCAAATAAGAGAAAGAAAAAAAGAACAAATCCCCGTTTCTTTGTCTAAAAAGTAAACTTCTTTACAATAAATAAATCAAAATTATGACACATAACAAACAAATATTGCCAATAATGAGAATTAGTACACCTGGTAACATTCAATTCACGCATCAACTAACTGGTTGGATAGATTGTTTAAACTGTTTCAAAATGTTAACAGTCAGACTTAAAGTAATCATTTAAATTTCGCGCGTTTAATTATAGTTAAATGTTAAATACAGGTGTAAAGTTAAAAGAGTGTTTTTTTTATTTCTATTCATTCATTCATTCAAGGTTCATGTCTTTCATCAATTTGTCTAAAATCTTTCTAAATATATATTATAAACAAATGAGATGATTATTTACTGAGTATTACTGTTTACTTTACATTTCATGTATTGAGTATTTCATAATTTATGTGTATTTTTTCTTAAATTAACATTTCTATTTTTAAGTTTTTAGTGTTAAAATTTAGTCTCAAATGTTATTATTCTACATTAGTTTGATTTCATTACGATTTACAATGACTTTCTTATTGTTAACTATCATATATGGCGTTAAGTGATGTGATTTCAGAAACCACTGTAATACTTAAGACGGTCAACCACTAACATTTGCACAGCACAAATTAAAACACAAAACAGATATGTATCGTTACATTTACTGACCTTTCAAACAAACACTTGATTAGTGATTAACAAATTTCACATATGGGTAAAATACATTGAATTATTACTAAAATGTAAGCTGCCTGCCATGCATAATCAACAAAGTTTATATATAAAAATGAACGTTACCCTGAAAAGATCAAATCAAATTAAAACGAATCATCCACTGGCGAAACATCACAATGAAAGAAGTAAACGTTCACCTTGGTAGTTATCACAGTGAACTTAAAAGAATTTAACACTGGACTAATAAAATCAAACCTACTTAATAACGAGATCTCACCATTCAATCCAGTCTAAACACGAACACATTGTTCTGGTTAATTTGAACAGAAAATTGCTTTAAATTACTTGGGACTTGGTTATAGAAAAACGGTACACCTAATACAATAAAGATAATTAATTTGAAGGTATTTTAAATCAGAGTTATGGAGATAAGTGTTTTTACACATTTAAAATCATCAATAAATCATTGTTAGACCACCACTGACAACGTGGAAGCACTGGACGGCCGTTTCATTCTGGTATGACTAGCTTCGTCAAGAAATGATCGATTGGTTAGGTATTCGCGCACAGTACCCAAGGTCCCGGGTTTGAATACTGCGAGGTGTAGGAATCATGGATGCTCACTGCTGATGAGTCCCATACGAGGACGAAACGGCCCTCCAGTGCTTCCACGTTTCTAATGGCGGTCTAACAATGATTTATTGATGATTTCAAATGTGTAATCAATTTTAGTTATTTCATTCCATCGTATCAACCTTGAAAATGGGAATTTCTGATAGAAAAGTTAACTGTTTTAGTGATATCTTGTTTTTTTTATTATTGTTAACATCATTTTTAGATCTGTTTTTAAATCAATTAACGAGTTTTTTTATTCTCATGAGTTATTTTGTAATGTCGGAAAATCACTTAAATCACATTTTAGGCTAATAAAGCACTCAATTTGTGAGTATTTTATATATTCTGGATATTTTTTTCTGCAAAATCGTTTACCGTAATAAGTGATACTAGTTTTGATACATATATACTTGTCACTTGCTTTTGTATGCTTTAAAGGACTTTTGGCAAACACTGGAATAAATTTCATTTTATTATTATATATATTGTATCATTTTTGAAAGTGGATATTTTATGTATATTACTGATAATTTTAATGCTAAATTCTCATATATATAGTACCTGAATATAAACATGAATTTGACAGACAAAACTTTGTAATAAAAGATATTAGAAAGCATAAGATCCATTCTAAATCGGTAAACGTTTGTGAAGTAAAACAAACTAACAATATGAGATTAAAGAATGAAGAAGGGTTGGTAACAAAAATGTAAGGTAGAACGATAATAGAAATGATAATACATTGACGGGAGAGTTTCATAACATTTTAGGAGTTTAGGATTTTGGAAATATGAACTAGATTTCTTAAGCTAGAAATAGCTGAATTGAAGCTGATTTTCAAACAAACCTATTACATGTACACTTATAAAAATTAATTCGTTTGAAAGTATAAAGAATGCATTTCCTACCTAGTTCTGTTTGAGGATTTTATCTATGATGAACAAACTAGGGCAGAACCTAGATGGACATTGGACACTATACTTTAAAATAATTTTCTGTTTCATCTTTTCGTAGGTTGCTTGTTTTTGATCATGGGTGTCTCCAAAGCATTGCTTGTGTATCATGGGACATTGCTGTTATTAGGAAATAGGTGCTAGGTAATAGTGGCATGTCAATAGATGAAGTAATGACACTTCATCAGTTGTGGTTGTTGAGACATGTGTTACGTATGCCTAACCACCGACTGCCTCGTCGAGCTATCATTTCGTAGTGTAGGAATAGGTTAGAAGAAAGCTAGGGGTGGCCAGACCAAAACATGGCACAAATCCATGAAATCACTGACAAGTGAACTGAGTCATGTCGGTAGGTGTTGACTACCTGGTCCGCAAGAAGGTAGTAATCGATGGTTAGAGACCCTGAGTGACATGGCTCAAAACCGTTTGCAATGGCTCAGGTGCATCCATTCTTTGTGTTCTCTCAAATCGTTAACTTTTTTATTCCTCACACCTTTATCTTCATCCTTTCAAGCTTATTTCACTAGATTCTACTTCTTGAATAATATCTTCTAATCGTAATCTCTCAGATTACTGCTAATGCCTTTACTATCTCTACCACTATTCAATTTGAATCGACAATTACATCTCTGTGTTGATTTGGTATGGCAACATGAACTGATGTACGTACGTACGTAGTTTTACGTTGCTATGTACTGAACGTTTCATATTTTCCAATCTTCAAATCATTAACTTTCCATAATCATTTCAACTAAATGGTTAGTTTGCTTCCTCATGTTTTGATAATTATTAATATGTAAGCATTAAGAGGAAATTTAAAATATGGACAAGAATGTACTTGATATCTTGACTCATCTTAGTCAGTCAGATTTTATATAGTAAATGAACTTTTTCAAATTGGCTTTTAGTTCTTAACTGTTATAGAGTTTAAGGTTTTAATCAACGTTAGAGCTTACAATTTATACAACGTATACTAACACTCATTATTTTGTAAACCCTAAACACTACCCTCAATGTGATGATGTAACCTGATGATAAAGTTCGCAAATCCAATAATCAAAGACTAGATAACAAAGACAATAAGAGATTCAGTAGAATATAATATTTTATTCAAAGATCCAGAAACGTTATTCCTCAGTAGTTCAGCTGCTATACTCCATAAACTATATACAATCGTATAATATTTTTTCTTGGTAACTATAAAGAAGAGTATTTAAATCATTGTTCTATCAGAAAATGTAGGTGCTTAGCAATTTTTCTCCGAAATATTGATTTGAGTTTATTCAATAAGCTATCAACTTTCTTCTAAACATATTTTCACCCATTCCTTTAGGATAGAAAGAGAATAGTGGATTTTTTAGGGACAATGGAATTCAAATTTAAAAATTTGTTTGTTTCTTGTTTCAAGTTGGTTTTCTGAATACTGATTTTTAGAAAGTGAAATTCCGAGTTTAACTTATATTCTAGTATAAGAACTTGGTTGATTAAAGACAGATTCATTTATTACACGTATATTTCTTCTGTACCTGTTGATCGTAACACAATATCACCGTAATTGGAAGAAAAGAGACTAGTGTTAATTTTAATGGTACACTATCAGTATGTCTAACGAACACATCATCATACTTAAACTACACACTGATTCCAGACATTGAAAGGAAAAACAATTAACTTATCAGTGAATATGTTGCAAAATAATTTCTACAAGTTTCGATACTATCGCTAATTTCATTTGGACATTCTTACTTATTAAATAACTTAATCGAGAGCAAACAGAAGGATTAGTACTATCGGACTAGTTGCTTCACAAATTATGAAATAATAAAATGAATTAGAGCTTCATTCACTTTTATGATATATAATTATTTGTTTTGTGCTTTTTTTCGCTCTAATTTAATTTAAATAAAATCGTTTACAAATACTTTAGAACTAATGGACGCAATACTAATCGACAATGTATTGATACACTAAATTCAATTGGTGGAGATATATCTATGGTCTGAATCAATGCGTAACTGTGAAATATTCGTGCGTGGGTAATTTGTCAGACAAGAAATGTATTGCTTAGATTATCTAGCTAACTTTATAATTAAGACAGGCAGCCAATCTGTTGGGGACGTTAGATCCCCAGAACTCGCTTGATAAATGCCTTATTTTGGATTTCACGTTTGCGAGCATGAGCTGATCAGTTGACCTTGAGATTTCATTTCCCATCAGGAAAATCCTTCGCCCAGATTGGCTGCTGTGTATTTCAGTGTGCTATTTTTGTGACTGTCCCAAGGACGTTTCTATGATGTATAAATAAACGAGATTTGTGTGCTTGCTGAGTGTTGTAGAATATACTTTCTACGCTTATCAAGACTTCTTTTTTACCGTTTTCGGATCAAGGTAGCCTATGTGGACGTGGGTAATTGTCTCGTTCGCGTTTATCGACTAAGGTGAACGCGTAATAGTTTCAAGCATACCTAACGACGAACCTAACACAATCAGAAGTGGTCAAATGCAGAAGGACATTGTTTCACAAATTATGAAATAATAAAATCAATCAGAACTTCATTCAATTTTATGATAAATAATTATTTGTTTTTAATTTAAATAAAATCATTTACAAATACATTGGAAATATATGTGTTACATTTTTTTTAACTTTTTAACATTAAAATTATATTTTTTGTTTTTTGTTTTACTCTTATTTTTTTCTTTCAGTCGGTGGCGCCACCAACAGTAATGATTTTTAGTTTGTTCAGTCATATTCTTCATCAACTAATGAATTGATGCCATGACTGGAAGAACGTTTCCCGCTAAAAAAAATTCAAAAAAACAAAATGAAAAGAAAATACATTTAAAGCAATCAGGTGGTAAATTGTAAACAGTAGAAGAGATAAGAACATTTAGTTATGTATATGTGTATATATCAAATCACATTACTTTACCAGTTTGTTAGTTAACACGTAGAGTATCATACCAAAAAAAAAAGTAAACAGCTGTTTATTCAATCCAAAACTTTTGTTCTTAAATCAACAATGACTGAATGAATCATTATTTTTCGCTTTGAATAATAATAATTATTATTATTAAATAAGAAATCCTAACACTGTGACCATAGTGATGTTAAAAAACAATACTCATGAATAGATATAGATAGTAGTGCTACAGAGACTACATGGACTAGGTAGTTTTTGCATTAGTTGTAAACATTACGCTGTAAATCAAAAAATAATGTTTACCTATTTAGAAATTAGTTTATCATAACAATTTTTTTGCTGTTGTAGAAACTTGTAGTTTTGTTTTTTTTCTTGAAGAAAATAAACTTTTAAATTATCTTGTTTAAAAGTACATGAATATTGAATTTAATGAGTTATGAATAAAAATGGCATTAGATTGAGTTATATTACGATTCATTTTGTTTAACAAACAGAAATCATGAAATTTTGAAAAATTAGAAGTGAAAATTATCATGCTCTCAATGGTGACTAGCTGCATGAAGAAGTTTCTCTGAGTTCTAGTAAGAAGTCGTGACTAGTGTAGTTCAACCATGTTGGGTGTGAATCAGTGAGCACCTAAGATAGAGGATGAGATTGCACAAGACCGTAGATTAACTGAAGTTAGACAGTGACAGAGTTAGTGGTGTCTATAAGTTAAGTTAAGTGTTTTATGCACAAGACCAAGGGTGCTGGGTTCGAATCCTGCGAGTAGCAGTAGTCGTGCATACGCACTTCTGAAGAGTCCCATACTAGGATGAAACGGTTGTCCAGTGCTTCGAAATTTCTAACGATGGTCTAACATTGATCGAGTTATGATTTTAATCAAACCAAAAACCACAATAGTTTATTAAGAAAGATGATAAAATAGAATACACTTCACAAATTAACATTCTGTTGTTGCCTAATAATCGGAAGTAAAATTTTAAATTGTCTCGAATGAAGGAGTGACGAAAATGGGATAAGACTATAATATATTACATTCATAATCGTCTAACATTTACTCAGTGTTCATAAAGTATTAATTAAAAAGCACATATTTACTCAAAGCACTAAAAATTCAAGAATGTCTACTCTATAGAACATGATCAAATTTGTTGTACTTACAAACAACCTTTCCTTAAAGTCTGTTCTTTTTAGGATAAAATTGATTATCTTTCCTTTTTACAAGTATCTGATGAAATTTCGGGGGCAAAAGTAATAGCTATGATGGAATCAACGAATAATTTATTCAAAATTCAACAATAAACATTGTCATTTGAACTTACAGATCTTCAAGCCATTTTGCACTATCTTTTAACTTTTGTAAACGAAGTAATTCTTGAAATCTCAATCCATTCAACATACGTTTATTTGGTATATTTAAATATTCATATCTGAATGTTTGAAATTTAAAAAAATATATATTTTATGTAACAAAATAAAACAAATGTAATTTTTATGTGTACTTTAAGTTTTTTAAAATACAGTTAGTTGAAAAAAAAGTTAAGCCATTAATTTAAAACAACTACTTTTTATCTATTAAAATAAAATGTGTGTGTGTGTGTTTATATATCGACTATTTGCAGTTTTATTACATTCAAATCTATACACAATTGTGTCATTCCAGTTTTCCTTGAATATTTATTTAAACAATCTCAGATATTTAATTGTCCAAGTCTAATTTTTATTGTTTCTTCAACTTCCGTGGTTCATAAAACACCAGTTAAGTTGATACTTTCAAAGAAAAACTAACTGCATTATTTTTTATCAAACCTACAAAACTAAACATTGACAATAAACTATATTTATTTTTCTGCAACGAAGATGATTCTATGCAACTTGTAAGCTGATGCACACTGTGATACAAACTTCGGTCAACTAGTCCGTAACTTCCATTGATGATAAATAAAGTTAGACTTTATAATTTTGAATTAAATTTTCAGAATCTTTTTTTTATTTTGCTATTTCTAATTGACAGTTAGTGAAAAAGTGAAAAATATCTAAAGCCACAGACTACTAATATAGTCAACTGAACTGATGTTTATTTATTTTTAAATAAACAGAAAAAGTTTTCTAACCTAATTACTTTTGTTTTTCTTACCACCAAACTATCAATTGATTACCCAAATGATAATTAGTAGTTAGATCAGAAAGAAAGAATGTAGATAGATTGAATGATTTGTCATTGATAATTACAATTTTAATTAAAAAAATTAGACATTTTTTTTGAAAAAGAAAATTAAGGTACTAATTTACAAAGCATTCAGCTGATTAATAACAGACATAACATGCATTGCACATTTTTTAGATTGTAATCATGTATTTTCTGTGACATTCCTCTTCATTTCAATCAATGATATGACTTACTGTCTAGTCATGGAACATACATGATACATAAATGTGATACTATCTATTCCTTTCATGGTTTAACAATGAAAGATCAAACGGGCGAGAATAACCTACGGAATTGTTTTTTTTGTGTTGATTTAATTATCACATAATGTGTTGGTTTTTGGTTGTTTGTTTTTTTTTCTGTAAAATCTAATTTTTTAATGTCATTCATGTTGAGTATCAGTAGTACTAAACAAATTTTCTAAAATGTAGAATAGTCTATATATAATTAAAATTTTAGTCATTCTAAAAGATAGTAGTAGAAGAAAAGGAAGAAAAAGAATCTGACTGGATCATTTGCCGAATTGTGATACTTGTTAAGATTTTGTAAATGATTGTTAGTTTCAGATTATTTAGCATTTGTGCCTAGGATAAGTCTTTGAGATGGTGGAGAAGATTTGTAGCTCAGGTAGATGATTGTGGTGGTTGTTTTTGGTTCTCTGGGCTGGGTGTTTTGGTTGTGGAGCTTTCATTGTTCTTCTTCTGTACAACATCATCAGCACAAACTTCAGATAGAAGTGAAGAATTCAAATTTCTCCAAGTTTGACCTGTAGCTTGTTCTGCTAACCTCGATCTTGATTAGTTGCTGTTGACCTTAAACCTGTCGTTGTTTGCACCATTGTTTCGGTTGTACCCTCCTTTTGATCTGTCTCTTGATCCCATGTCACCTATGATTTTCCTGATTGGTTGATGAATTGGGTCAACGTCGATGTGTTTGTTGATTGTGGATGGACCTGAGTGCTAAGCTTCTAACAATTTCCTAGTGTTCTTTGTCCTCCCCCTGCCCAGTATTTCCACATTGTTCCAATCAAATGTGTGTCCATAATTGTAGGTGTGTATTGATATAAGCGAAGCGTTGTCGCGGCGTCTGATTTCTAATTGGTGTTCACGTATGTCTCATTGGGTAACCCACCCATTAACTATATACTAGTTAGAACAATAGTTGAGCAGATATACCAGTGTTTAATATTAATCTTTCTAGGTTCTTGGCTATTAGTTTTTAATGAGTGATGAGATTCTAACTTGTTAAATGAATTCCGTCAGATAATCACTATCGGCACTCTATTACTTGATATGATTTATCTGTTTGGAATTATATTTCATTAGGTCGGAAAATTTTCTAGTTGCTTAGCACTCAAGCCAGTTAATAATTAATGAATACACAGAAATCTACCTAATTTAACAAGCAACTGGAAACGTCATGGACAAATATGATATCAAGAATCTGGTCATTAGAGAAGATAGTGATCGGATGGATTTCCACAATAATCACTTAAGGTCAGTGTTCATTAAACAAACTGTCAGTTGTATGTGGAAAAATTCAAAAATGTCGCTTCTGCCTAAAGTTTACACTGATGTTGCTGTTCAGAAGAGCAATAAACTCTCCACAAACAAATCACCGAGCTCAAAGGAGAAAACTTTGCCAGAAACATCAAGCACCACTGAAACTTATATAAGGCTGATATTTGTTAGTAAATCATTTCAAATATAGAAATGATGCATCATTTTCTATAACCATCACCGTGATTGTGGTATACGTTTCACTGCAATTACCAAAAAATTTACAATTTGCAAAAATAACTTTTGCATTACATTACTTCGAATGGTATTAGGTTCTCAACGTTAACCCATGTACACAAATATAAAAAAGGAAAAAATGAAAGGAATCCATTAAGAGATATTATCACAATCAGTCATTTTTAGTTACTGAATAGTTAATACACAAACTGGTCTACGATATTCAGCTTCGATCAATGTTTTTGGTTTTCAATTCCATTCACCTAATATCGTAGACATGACTACTATTTCAATTAGAAACTCGTAATCGTTTATGTCTATTCACACGAACTGTCAATCTAAAATTTCTCAACTTCATTCATATCCAAAATCTTCGATAGATTTGAATATAACAAGCTCCAGTTAAATCATTTAAAAGCGTTTTGTTTGAGTGATGTGTTTGACAGAAGACTGTTCTTTGTAACCCAAATAAGCAACAATTCGGTAAATTTTGCATGACCCTTTGAATGACCCAAATGAAAAGATTCTTCTCCAATCACAGCATTACAATAATTTTGTGCGATGAATGGAGATTGAATGTTTCGTAACAAACTGTTGTTATAAATATACATTTTATGTTGTACTTTTTGAAAAAATAATAACTGTCCACACACACACACAGAGAATAAAGCAGATTATAATACAATTATAAAGATTGTATCATTTTAGGGAAAAAATCGCTAACAAGTAATTAAAAGCACTTTAAAATATTTTTGAACCTAGAAAAAGGCAAAAACCATTTAAGAATTTCCATTAGGATTCTAAATGGACAAATCTGTTATCTCTATTATGTCTACGTTTTTTGTTTCTTGCTTTGAAAATAAAATCAATTAATATCTCCAAAATGTATATTGAAGGCAATTATGTCTATAACAGAAGAGTAAAATATTGAAATATGTATCAACATATATAGTGTTCATCTTATGATACTTAAAAGGTCTTTTGTGAGATCGTGAAAGCGAACTGATGAAAACGAAACAAATGTCAAATTCTATGTGCTCTTTATCAGTTCTGTAGTTGATGATAGGAGTATATTGAATTCAATATTACTGTCAGTCTCTTGTGTTGTTTATAATTTAAAATAACCAGCTTACATCAATGAGTACGATTAGTAATTTTCTAAAATTCTTATTTCTAACAATGTAACAGTTTGAAATCTTTACGCTGACTGTCCCTAGTTTCGCTTTCCAGATTCTCTAAATCTGAAGTTTGTATAATTACTGATTGCTGTTTATCGCTATCGTTGTTAGAAGTGCATTTTGTGCGCTTGCTTTGTAGGTGGTTCACTTCCTCGTCTGTTCTTCTCTTTTTTAGTTCTCATCGCTCGCTCTACAGTGTATGTTTCCCTAGTACACAATGTACCTTCAGACAAGTTGGAAACCTCTACACTAGCAAGTGACACAGATAAACAATGTTCTATCCTACAAAGGTTCTACTTGATAATAGCACATTGTATGGGCTAATTCAACAGTATAATTGCTTTAGAACTGTTATTCTAATTATTTGATAATTTTCTGATCTTTTAACTTACACGCGATTAATTTGTATGACCGTATGCCGATGAACTTACTCAATAACTTTGAAAAAATATATGGTGTCCAATATTTAAATTAATCTAAAGGTCTTAGGCTAATTATTCAGAAAGAATTATTTCCTTTTTGTTGAAGATAGTAAAAAATGGTTTATGCTAGACATTATTCGGATGATATTATATCTAGGAACTTTTTGAAATAGATACACTAAGTTATTGACTGCAAAGAATATGAATACACTTGTAGAAATTACAACTGAGGTGATTAAGAGATTGAGAACTTCTTCTTTATTCGGATTCACAGTGATGATAGCCATCAAGAGGTTAAGATCTAGACTCTTGGACTCGCGGAAAATGTATATTTTCAACTGTTATGGATCTTGACTATTGAATCTTTATTCCTTCATTAAGTATTGGTTTGGTTTTTCAAATTTATTTCAGCTTTAAGGAGTTTCGTAATCGAGTGTAAAACTGATAGAACCTATTTTAAAAAAAAGACCTACGGTGAAGCAAACAACTCAGCTACAATATGATATCCATGTTTAGAATTTAACTGTCATATAAACGATAGATTAACGGCACACATGAATTAGCAAACCTGTTAATTGAAATCCATAATTCGTCCCCTCAATACTTACGTATCTTTCAGATCCACTAAGTAGGAATTCAACCATTTGAATTAAAGCAGAAAAGTATTTTAAATATCTAACAGTTTAGCATAATAAAATCTTTGAATCATCACCAAACTTTCTACCTTATATATATATATATATTCATGACAGCTGACATAATTAGGTTAATTTTTAAGTAATTAATTAAACATTTATTGATTTGATGAGATGGCAAAAGATTATTCCAATAAAAATATAATTTTTATCATAAAAGATGATCATATCATTGAGACAAATTTCACAAAAGAACAAATCTATGCAGAGAACTCAAATCACTTTTATTTTCATTAATCTCTACGATTACAATGGAATGTTGTTAGCGGAATCGATGGTTGGTTTATAATACATGGAAACTTCAATATAGTTTATGAAGTCATTAAATCTACTAAATAAAACAAACAATCAACAGTGCTTTTTGATATATAGATGATTGAACAGTTGAATACAAGTTTCAATGTCACTTTGAACATTAAATATTATTTTACCTATCTGTCAGTACTAATGATAGATGTGCATACTTTTTTGTGACAGAGTGTTAACATTCACTCACGTAGTGAACGTCTGAGAAAAATGTCAAATTATATCCTTTGAACTAGTGATAAAATATTATTTTAACCGACAACTGTTGCAGTAATAATCTTATAATGACTTATCAAGCTATTCTAATAAATAAAAGTGAGATTTCTAAAAATGAATGAATGTGTATATTTCAAATAAACATAATAACTAACTAAAAACTAAAAACACTACAGTTTCTAAACATCTAATTTATTGTTAATAATAAAATTTCTAAAGAAACCGTTTTGTTTAATTTTAACAACATTACATTTGAGATTACTATTGCAAAAATTTTAGATGAACTTCAAAAAAGTCAGTATATACTTGGAATTATGTAGTGTATAAAACAAACATTTCATCCAAAGTCCCAATGAAATTAGTCGACTTGATTTCCGTGACACACAATAAACAATTGCTTCTGGATAAGATACAAAAAACTTTGTTTAAATAGTATCACTATTCAAAATTTAACACATGGACTAATTATTTCTTTTCATTCGACATTGTACAAAATTTTTTTGCGCTAATTTTAAAATTTCATTTTACACAGAGCTTAATGTCACATTAATTAGTTATTTAATCTAATGGTTAATTCAAAACTAATTTCGGTTGTAAATGAAACTGGCAAAACAACGTTTATTTTTTTTTTTGAATATTTTTAATGGTGATAAATCGCACTTTATTCAAAGTTGAATGTTTGTTCTGTTGTTGATTTTTTGTGGCCTAAATAAACACTGTAAGTTTATTGTCCAACAAAAATAAAAATGAAACATGATATATATCACTTGATTGGCGCTCAATTCTTCTCAACGAATAATCGATTCGCAATTATGCCGTTGTTTTATTGAATTTCACTTACTTATTTTTATTTTGTTCAATTGTTCAATGAATGATATTTAGAGATTTATAATACATACTAATTTTTTTTAAACTGAATGTTCTTTCTGTTTTTGCTTACACATGTCCATTCATATCATACAAGGTGATTTTTAAAATGTACACATGAGTCATTATTTTTCCACTGATCCATTTCTTGATGAACTCACTTTACAATACAGAATTAGCACAGAATTTGAGTGAATGATAAAAATTTATAAGAACACTACTTTTCTGGAAATATACATGATCATAATTCAAACACTTATCCTAAAGTGACCGATAGGACATGATACCTGACAATACTCTACATCAAGACTTGCATGCCTTTTCAAACTATGATTATCGTTATTATTTGCTTGTAATTCACATTGCTCATACTTTAGTGGTGCTAGAACAAATAGTTTAATGTTCAGATTAGATATTATTTTTTAAAAGCAGAGTAAGAATATTTAAACTATGAAACCATTTTAAAAAACTATTCATATATTAGTCATATATATTTTATAGAAAAGGAGCATCTGTTTCGTCTTCAGGTAAGTACTATGACATAAGTCCAGTTTCGATGAAACTTACAACAACAGATCTCAGTTCTTTGCTCCTGTCTGATTATTTTGAAATCAATATCATTATAAGAAATGAAACAATTTTCTGCAGAATAGGACAGTTTATATTTATATCAAAAAATCTATCTAATATGTATGACTGATGAATTCGTTTCGGCATGGACAATTAAATTATCTGTAAAAAACTGTTTGAAATCATCACTAAATCAGTTTCAGTATTGTTGTGTGCAAAAATTCGTTATGAAATATAAAACATCATTCTAAAGGTTTTTCCATAAAACTAATTGCACACTGTAAATGAGTAATTTGTCCACATAAATCCATTTATAATTAAATAAATTATCTTTTTAACTTATAGTAATAAATCTTAGCTAAAATATATCTTGTATTCTGATTATAATTTGTATCAAGAGCTATTATCAACTGGAGAATCAGTAAGAATTTCGTCTAATCCTGAAATGGTTTCATTCGAGAACCAACCTAGCGTCCAGTGAGTTTAGATGTCAACAAGTTATTCAGCTGATATCAGCTGGTAACGCAAAATTACCTTCTCAGTAAAAATGAGATAAATACGAATCAATAAAAATCGCTCCTATCAAAATCATGACTTACTCCGAGTATCCAGGAATGATTTGATTTCCTTTTGATGAAGGCCGACATTCAATGAATAATAAAAGAGAAAACAACAAAATGAAACTAAAAACAATGATTCTGCTTGACCAATTCATTTGTCAAGTAGTAATTATCTCAAAACAAATAAATGTAATTAACAAATGAATAGTACACGGAAAAAGGAATTTTGTTTACATTTCATTTCAGAGGATTTAAATCTATGAATCCACCAATTAATGATCAGTTATCTTTTTTATTGAATCCAACACATATTATCTTTTATGATTGGTTGAAAATGTTTCCTCATATGGGTGGGATATAATGTGGAGGTGGGTTATTAAAGGAGTCTAAGGCGGAAGCATGAATAGGTTTCATTAGGTTTTATATGATTATATGCTTTTTAAAATAAAAAGCTTATACATTAAATTATTAGATAAAAAGTTAACAAAATTATTAAATAGTTTAATTGTGAGAACATTTCAGATGCAGAATAAATCACCTTTCATCTTCGTAATCTGTATTAAAATCAAAATTTTCCAGGATATCTTTGAGCCATATAGAAATCGTTAGTTAATGATTCAACATGTAATCTACAAGAAAAATTTCTTTTATAACTGAACAATAAGTGCTTTTATTTTTTTTTTTTTTTGATAGACACAAAAAGAGAGTCGAAGGCACGAAAAATAAATTCAAAGCTGTTTAAACACATGAATTGTGTTATGCATATTTAATTTTGAATGGTAGCCCATATTCATTGATCAATCATTCAATGTACGAATAGAATTCAGATGATCATAAAATTAACCTGTTACAACTAATAAATATAACCTGTTTACTGAGCTAATGAAATAGAGTAAACTCAATAACCTGTCTATAGTAAACAAACAAACAAACAAATCACTAGTGAAGCCTATGAATTTTACTTACACTTATTGATTGAGAATGTGTTAAATGATAACAAGTACAGATAAATTTTTGGAGAAAACAAAAGGTAAATAGTAGATAATGTCTTCAGTGAACACTTGACTTGGAATTAAGAAAAAATCGTATTTATCTTGAATGCAGGTTTTGAAACATCCTAACCTTTTCAAGTGTTTCGATAACAAAACGTTTGTAATGAAAACGCTAAAATTCTTTGCATTTCTACACAATATATTTATTTATACAATCTTAAACAGTAAGCAGATCAATCTACATTTTTAACTTTTAGAAAATATATTATTCTACTGAAACTGAATTGATTTGCAAACTCGTCAGTGAATTTCAACAAAAATAAAGAACATTGAATAGAATTATACAACAAAATTCTAAATTTGTATGGTTAAGTAGTTTAACTTTATCTATGTTACATAATCAACGAGACAATTAAATGCTAGTTTTTGAATTAAGTAAATTTATGTTATTTAAGGAAATAGTAGAAGTTCGTTGGTAGGATAGAAAAGAATACTCATCATTTGTACCATGAAATCGGTTCCCAATAAATAAAAAACTTTCGTTAAGCAAGAACAATAAACTTTACGATGTAAATTGAACTCATTTCATCTGTAATCTTCCCGTTTTTCTGCATATACACTTGTTTGCACCAATAAAGTGTTGTATGTGTTATTTGTAAAAAGTCACTTGATATACTACTAATAAGTTTCCACCTTTATTGAAAGTTCAGTTTGATAGAGGATTGGAATAGGTAGGAAAGAAATCTTAACATTAATTACATCAAACAAGCAGATATTGATTAATGGGATGATTACTAATGAAAAGAGTGTATGTAGATTTGGAGGACATGAAATGAAGTAAATCCATTTCATTTCACTGGGTTATTTGTTTATTCACCAGTAAACTGTGCATGATGACCGATTTGTGAGATACTGAAACCTTGAAAACAATTATTTTATGTTTTGGTTATCAAAATCTCTTTTCAATCATCTATTTGAATCTCAGTCTTACAGTTGTTATATTTGTAACTAATTAGGAAAGTTTCCATTTTTTATGTTTCAAATACTTGAGTAGAAATTACTGTGTACTTAAAATCCTGTTTTCGACCCATCAAAATATGGCAATCTTAAAAATGAAAACATTACGGCAGTCGTCACGTAAAAACAAATTTTCACAGTTACTAAGTAAGTAAACTTAGGCTAGTTTATTAAGATCACTGTTTTCAGCCTAAATAATGGTGTGACAACTTAAGTTTACTTTTAAAAGTATTATTGTAGTGAACGAAAATGTTAAGACCAGTGTTTAGAGAAGACACAGTTTACTAACAAAGTATGTACACTTTAGTTTCAGACTGACATTTGCAAAACAAACAGATTATCAGCTGTCTTATGGTTTTCAAAGATCTATGATCCAACACTTTGTTCCGGCAGTAACCTCTGGGTGACACCGCCACCAACTACTTGAGTAGGTATCCACCACACTATTACTTTACAAAACTTGAAAGATACATTTCACCGGTAACTGTCAGGGAACAGAATAAACGAGCTTATAACCTCTCACTGATTTCCTTCATAAATGTGAAAATTAAAAGATTATCGAATTATTTTGAAATAGATATGTGGATGTAAGATTGATTGTCTAACGATTTTTCAAGAAATCGAATTATTAGCACAAACCTCCTGAATGAAAAAACTTCAAAAACCATCGATATAAATCGAAAATATAAGTTTTCGTTATTATGATACACTAAATATATAGGATAGACTAGGTAGGATACACCTTAACATACAGTACTGCCTATTAGTGTTCAATGATACAGATAAACCATTGAATACTTGATGAATATATAAAATCAGTTGCGTCATTTTCTTATCTACTATTCTTCAAACTAATGAAATCTAATTACAATGAATTTTTACGATTGTCTAGAAATATCACAGGCCTTCATGATGTATATTGCATGTTTTCAACTTCTATCTCCACACTTGTTTTACAGACATCAGACACTTTTATTCGTTTTTATCTTGAATAAAAACTACGTATTATGGTCAAATTCGATTCACGCTAACCAGTTACTTTTATCCCTACAGCTTTTATTATACCAATAATCTGTAGATAGTATTATAGATAACTCAACAATCATCCTATCCAGTGTACCCGTATTTCATATGAAATTTCAACCTTGGCCTTATGAAGAAATAACGTATTCATCTTACTGACATTCTTACTCAACAATATCTGATGAAAGTTGCCCCTGTTCAACATCATTTGAATCATTTGGAACTTATAATATATATGAGAAAAAATAAATCTGAATAAGGTACTTCCACCTATAGTCTTACAAAGTGAGTGAATTTGTTCAAAATTTACTGTTTATTGATGATTATTTCAACGAATATCTTAGGAGAAATTTGAAAATCTAGGTTCGCAATGAATGTTGATTTACCAAATATATACAAAACATCTTTATGGTTTCTTAGTATATTACACAAATAATTATTAATTAGAGAAATATCTTGTTGAATTACTTTGTCCCATTGCTGAAATCAATGTATAATAATTCTGGGAAATACAACTATCTGGTGTTGTACTGTTCGAATTCATTCTACTGGTATTTAATGCTTGCATGGATAACATAATGACCCTGAAATTCAGAAGGCAGAAAATAAATGGGGTTGTTAAATGAAGTACTGACTAATCAAACTTTGACCTACTCAACGTAATTTATGACATCTTAATCTTCCAGTTGACTTTATTCATTTAGTAATCATACGATTGTCTTCAGTTAGAAATTCAATTTAATTTTCAAGTAGATTCTTCATCATGAAGGTGAATCTTTAAGTTCTGATAGATATCCTTGAGTGACTTATTGTTTATTCTGAAAAACTGAATCCTCTAGATCTATCATAAAAATATTTCCTTTTGGTAGTATTCTCACTTAGAATTTTGAATGCTAAAGCTCGTACGTAACAGGAAACTGTTACGAATGTAATACTTTTTCATAGTTCAAATCACGAACGAATTTCAGATAGACCACAATTAGGAACCTTGAAGCACTGGAAGGCCGTTTCATCCTAGTAAGGAATTCCCCAACAGTGCTCATCCTCGATCCCGCTCGGGACCTTCAGTGTCGAGCGAAAATGAGATAATCCAAGAGTAATTTTTTAGGAAAGCTGTATATTTTAAATTTTCATAATTTCAGAAAAAATGTTTCAATGAAATAAGTGATAAATTATTATTGACAATCTGCTGTTACTAATATAAAGGTAACAATCACTTGTTCGAATATAATCACTTAACTATACAAAAATAATTGAAAAAAGAACAAGGCACTGAAATACGTCCACTTAACTTGCTGAAGCGTCTGTTTCATACGAACCTAGCAAATAACAGTCACAGTGATTATACAATCTTATGGATAAGAGCTATTAAGACACAAAGTACGTGGATCCAAGCATTAGTTTATAATTGGACAAGTCCCCACATTTAACAGTATATATAAAGAATAAAGACTGAAAACGAAGTTGAATGTACAAATGTTTATTGGAAAATTTAAACCATGTACAGGACAATTGGAAGGGAAAAATATTTAAATTAATAATCTAGAGGATAAATAAATGAAAATATCTTCAAAACTGATATCAATAATGTACCAGATCACATGATATCCTCAGATAAACATTGCAACACTCAAACAGACTTCAATTTGGAAATATAAATCCTTCCTAATTTGACCTAATTCAATAGTCATTAAGTCTAAGAACTAATGTTATTTCTTGTACTGGTTCCTTACTTTATTCTAACCACAGTAGTATGTTAAGGTAACTAGGGACGTATAACATATATTTAAACCACCTTGGTTGGTGAAAGCCTACAGACTTATCTGTTAATTCATAATCTTTATCTGTCACCCTACACCTAACCTCAAAATCAAGTAAACAGTGGTTTTACCATGCACAAGCTGTACTTCAACACCACTTTTGACCACACACATATAACCTACAAATGTCTTTCACTTTTAAAGCCTATATTTCACCACTGGTCGAGTGAGAGCATATGGCGAACTGTCATCTAAATTCTCCACATCAAGTGGTGTCCGTCAGGTTGTCCACTCTCTCCATTCTTGTTTAACTTTCTCGTAGACATCCTCTTAGAGTTAACATTAAGCTCGTCAGATTTTTCAGGGGTTGACCTTCTACCAGGAAAATCGCTTACTGACCTAGAATATGCCGATGACATTGTTCTATTCGGTGAAGACGCTGACAAAATGCAGAGTCTTCTGACTACCATGAGCAACAATACAAGCATGTTCGGGATGCGGTTTTCCCCCTCGAAATTAAAAATGTTTCTTCAAGATTGGGTTGCATCGGTACCTGAACTAATGGTAAGGAGTGAATTGGTCGAGCGTGTTGACTGCTTCACTTATCTGGGGAGTCTTGTCAGTGCTGATGGTCTGGTGACCGACGAAATCTCAGCACGGATACAGAAAGCTCGATTAGCTTTTGCCAACCTAGGTCATTTATGGCGTAGGCGAGATATCCGTTCGCTGACCAAAGGACGGGTGTACTCCGCAGCAGTTCACTCCGTTCTCCTATATGGATGCGAAACAGGGCCGTTAAGAGTAGATGTTCGTAGGTTACTAGTATTCGATCATAGATGTCTGATAAGCATTGCTCGTATATCATGGGACAACCGAGTAAGCAATGCTGTCGTTAGGAAGTGAGTACTAGGTAAGGATGGCAAATCAATAGATGAAGTAATGAAACTTCATCAGTTGAGGTGGTTGGGACATGTTCTGCGTATGCCTAACCACCGACTGCCCTGATGAGCTTTCTTTGTAGTGTAGGAGTAGGTTGGAAGTTAGGGGCGGCCAGACCAAAACATGGTAGAAATCCATGAAGTCACTGACAAGTGGACTGAGTCATATTGGTAGATGTAGACTACCTGGTTGGGGTCCGCGAGATGATAATAATCAATGTTTAGATACCCTGAATGGCGTGGCTCAAAACCGTTTGCAATGGCGCCGGTGCATTTATTCTTTGTGTTCTCTCAAATTCTAATCTTCTGGATTCTTCAACACCTCTAGTTTTGACTTTCTTATCTCACTGAATCATACTTCTTGAATAATATCTTCTAATCCTTACCTCTCTGATTACTTATAATACGTTTACTACCTCTACTACTATTGGATTTGAATTGACAATTATATCTCTGTGCTGATGTGGTATGACAACATGAACTGATGTACTTACGTACGAAGTTCTACGTTGCATCTGACTGACTGACTGACTGACCTATATTTCATATCTATAATTTTATAACGAAAGAACTGCTATGTAGTATTTTCATCCCTTACTTACTTACTTACGCCTGTTACCCCCAATGGAGCATAGGCCGACCACCAGTTTTCTCCAACCAACTCTGTCCTGGGCCTCGCTCTCCAGTTCTGTCCAATGTTTGTTCATTCCTCTCATATCTTTCTCTATTTCTCGGCGTAATGTATTCTTTGGCCTTCCTTTTTTCCTTTTGCCTTCAGGGTTCCATGTGAGGGCTTGTCTCGTGACGCAGTTAGGTGCTTTTCGTAGTATGTGTCATATCCACTTCCACCGCTTCTTCCTGATTTCCTCATCCTACTTGTGTCCAATGTGTTTCACTGATTCCAAGCACCTCGAGGTTGTATCTTTTCATTTCTGCCGCAACTTGAAATAGTCTTCCAGTCTCCCACAATGTACGAACGTTCCATGTACCTAAACAAACGGTTGCTCCGGTTGTCAGAAGAGGCATCGACCCCGTCACTTCCGAGGGAACTCGGCTTTCATCACGCGACGTCATAATTCTTCCTCCAACTCCCAGGACAGAGTTAAAATGGTTTGAATTATTTTTTATGGTTAGCGTTTTTTTGGCAAGTTAGTTTTTGACGGAATGAAGTCGCCAACCCCATGTCCAACCCTCCTCCTTTACCCGGGCTTGGGACCGGCAGTAGCCCCGAAGGTTCTACTGGCGGAGTTATTCTCATCCCTAGACAGGTATATTTGTTCTAGGCCTTCAAGCCTAATTAAACATCTGTGACTATATCAGAACACTTAATATGCGAATCATCAATGACATACATCTATTCGATAAGCAATAATAAGCTTTAAATCTACTACATAAAGTTTAATAACGCTCAGAATAACAACCAATGCATTCCAACAAACAGATTCTTAGATAAACTAAACACCTTTTTTAAATGGAATTTGAATTCATACTTTAAATATGTTTGTTTTCTATGAAACTGTACACATACATATCTTCGATTGGTTTCAGTTTGCTGATATTTGCGTATTACACTTGATATAAGGAACCTGATACTCTGTATTCTAACTCCTACGTTCTTTGTATTTATTAAAACTCTAACTGACTAACTTTGTTAGTAAACAATGAATAAACATTAAAAGTACAAAGACAATTATGTATATGTTAAAATTTTGGGTGCAGTTCTCATGAAACATTTATTGTAAAGATATTAAAATAAACTTTTATATGGTAGAAAATACATACATATAAGCTTTACTTTAATTGTTCATTAGGGATACTACCCCTAACTCAGATCTCATATGGTCGAAAAATGAAAATTTCGGAAACGCGAAAAAATCACATGAGACAAAGGGTAATTGAAGTGTTCGGGCCTATTTGCATCAAGCTGGGCTGCCTCTTCTACTATCCTGCGCCATATATGTATACATCATATGCTATACTGCTATATAGAGCTGAAGGTCTCCTCCTATGAGACTAGAGGTTCGCTGTGTATATTGTGGATGGCTTGGCTTTGCTTTGGAAAGCATCGTTAACAGTCCATATACAAAATTGGTTAGGAGGGTGACCGATTTCACTAATATAGGTGGTTGTTTTGCGACATTCCCGAGGGCCATTGTCATCGGGGTGCTGTATTACATATCACCATTGCTAATAATAATGAGTTTGACAGTCGTGTACGTGGGATGGGTCAAAATGGCCTGTTCTTGCGGTGCATGTTGATTGACGCGATCATTGATCGGAAATATATATACCATTGTGTGTATATGAAATGGTGTGAATGGTCCACCAGGGTATCAGGTACCTGTGAGGTCGCACCACAGGATTGAGCCGAACTGTTCATGTAGTAATGGTAAAACGTGTCCAGTCTCTTTGGTTCTCCTGAAAACCAATGTAAAATTGCCCTAGACAATACAGGGTAAATTTATATGATTGAAAAAAAATTAATCGTTCATTAAGTAATGAATATAATTCTGAACCGTTTAATTCTATATTTTGACTTCAATTATACACATTAATGGTAGAAAATGTGTTTTCGTGAGTTTACAAACAAATTTCATTTGACTTGAATGGGAATTAGCAAAGGATAACTCTTCCAAACAATAAATAATAGTCTTTTATGTTAAAATATCAAATGTGATTATGGATAAGTGATGTCATGCTTGGATTCTTATACATTATACAACCCATTGAAGTGTTCCATCAAACTATGGGATCACGATTCTGCTAACATTACTGCACTTGTTTTTTGTCTGAACAGCTGCATGGTAATACTTAACCGTATACGAACTATGTATCACCAAACCCGATATTTAAGACTTTACTGATTATTCATTTGGTTTATATGATGCTTTATAACACCATTGTTATAGACTAAGTAGTATCGTTGTTAACAAATAGGACTAAGTCATAGTGTTGTGAACGAGAACACAGGTGAGGGCAACCGAATTGTATTTAACGAAAATTACAGAGTTACTCAGTAAAATCGGAAAACCATATCGTAAATCGGTAATTTGCAAAATATCAGTTCATCATATCGAACTGGACTGTTCCTGTTGCAAAACATCAATCCATTGTCACTATTCATGCGTTTCGTACAAATTCCATTGTGTTCTAAATCTTCCTCTCTTGATCATCCCCCATCTTCTGCTGCCAGACATTACGTTGACACTCACGTCATATACTACTTATAAGTAGCTCACACCACAATAGGACAGTGAAGAAATATTCATTTCATTTCTTATTGTCAAGTATTTTATCTACTGGGTATTTCAATTGACATATCGATGATAACATATTTGAAATTATTTCGCACTTCTCTAAGAGCTTTAGCTACTAAGCTACTTGGATTGTAACACTGTCAACAATCACAACCGCCCGCTTCTAGAATTCATCTGTAATATACTGATTACTATTGATTTTTATCAAATGAATTACCACGAGAACTCAGAGAACTTATTAAATCTGCCTAACATTACATTTGCGTTTACATTCAAGGAAATTAGTGGTCCATATACATGTTTACTAATATCATAAAGAAAAACTGAAATTCCTGATATTTTGACAGCTTGATCACTGGGAACATGTATATGACTGTGATACTTCTGTGCAAGGAATTAAGACAAATTGGAATTTCCTGTAACTGATCAGCTTGGGTTCATGATTTGAACCACATTTCATACTGGTTAATGATTTTACAGTAAAGTTTGTGAGTAAAGTTTTGGCTTGGTATATGTATTGAGATATTAACAACTAGGTTGATTTCTTCTTTTTACTACCATCTTTTAACAAAGGTATCACATCAGAAAGTTCATCTTATTGGTTTCATTTTTATTGTTGACTGAACTGCTAAATAATCGAGATTATATTTCTTTCGTATACATTCATTGAGGTGCAACAAACATTCAGTATATAATCAGCTGCTAGTCATTGTAATGTGGTACCAATAAATCCTTTAAGAAGTTCTTAATTTCATTTATTCAAAGATGAAGCACTAGGATTATTTTAAATGACTTAAAGTGTCAGAGCTTTGGCTGTAAATAATATTCCCAGTAGAATAATTAACACTCAAAGGGAAAAATATATTCAGTGTGTTACACCTGCACGTAAACACGTCATTTTGATATGCTTGAACTATTACGAGTTTACCTAGTCGGAAAATGAGAGTGAGGATCGAGGATCCGGCGACACGACATGCTACTCAAATCCGATTATCCCAACCCCCATATTGAGTAAAAATAAGAAGACATGATATGAAGTAGAACCTATATTCTACAAGCATCCAAAAGTACGAGGTCTGAGTCCAGAAAAGAATCAGGATCCCGAACTAGGGATCCGGGACCGGGTCCTGGTCATAAGACGTTACACATAATGCGTATTTATACATTTTGGTCGAATAGGAAACAGCATCGAATTCTGTGGCATTGACAGTTAAGACGACGAATAGGAAGTAACATTTGAAGTGACAATGAAATTCAGGATGACCAATCAGAAACAACATTGGAGCACGTGACATTGACATCTAGGAGGATCATAAAATTGACCAGTAGGAATCGACCTATAATTCTCTTAGGATATTGGATAAATATCCTAACAAAGTGGCAATCAGCACTTAATTAATTAAGTGAAGATACTACACTCCATAGGTACTGGTCAAATATGCTACATACAAATTGAACACTACTATGTCCAACAATCGATTTCCCTAAACTACTCGGTATATTCAAGGGTAAGTCCTTTCTCTGTCTTTCTATACTGTCATACTACCACCTATTTACAGCTTATACCAGACAAAATCTACTTCTAGCCATTTTGTGGACATGGTATCTTTACGAAAGTCTGGCAGCCAAAAAAGTATGTTAAGTCCATTAACCTGGTAGGTGAATACGGAGTCCACCCAATGGAGCTGGGAAAACCTAGTTTAAAATAGTCAGCAAACATAGGCTGAAAGATATCGCCTAAACGAATGGCATACGAACAATGTAGCAAATGTACTAATATGCTGTGCCCACATGGCTCGTCCTAGCTTTTGGAAAAACTAATTAACCCTTTCACCTGAGTTACTATTCACACATCTCATGAACTTGTCAACGATTCCCTTAAAATCTTGGTTGCTTCTACTTGAGTGCGTGTACATGGTTTACTTCGTTATCACATGTCCAGCTCATTTTTGCCAGACTACAAACACTTAGTCATGCCTCATCAACCAAGTTGGCCCACTCACCTTCTCCGCTTCACTTTCTTCAGCTGCACATATTCTGCACATATTCATAAATTCACCCGCAAACCCTATCGGGCTTTTGATCACCACCGGCACACAAACATGGTTTGCCTAAGAATGATATACGGAAATTACGTGAAGGATTTATTTCATACCATATTCAACTGCTCGTAAAATGTGGGATCAGATCCCGAGCCGCGAATGTGATGAGCTCTATTTCGAACATAAATGTAGCCTACAGAACTACGTCGACAGAGAAGCTCTCAAACTCAATACATTCAAAAAATAGAACCAACATAGTAGATTGAACGAACAACGCAGACATAAGCAACGAAGCTAGTTCAGCGACGATGTATACATAAAAACATTGTATTATCTTTATTATTTTGTTCATGTATCAACTCATCGCACTAATCTATTTCTTCGAACTACCGCATTATCCTTATCATCATTATAATCATCATCGTATTTTCGTGGGTGAACTATTATCTTTATTCATAGACATTAAATTATGATAACTATGGAATTACACTGATCAGTCATAGAATCATAATACTATGAACATTATATTTACGTACGACATTCGCAATTGACTGGGTTATTTTCTTTACTTCGATAACGTAAACAATTTTCCTACTTGAACTTAGTTCGTTCGATTTTTTTGTACTGTCATTTTACTTCATTATAGTGTTCTCATCCGTGCAGCGGTCATTTTGCATAACTATATTATGCACCTATTATTATCTCCGATATCGTCTTCACACGTCTGGGGATGCTCCGAATTTTATTAAGCCTTCTGTAAGATCGATCATCATCTATCACAGCAATGGCTCCATGAGACTACTTATTCAGTATCATTCATTTACGTGGCTGCTACACAATAATCACATGGCAGGTATTTCCAACTTACTGATCAGCCACTGTAACCTCGAATACCTTGCAAGTAAATTAGTAGTAAAGCGACACGCAACACTATTAGTATAAGCAGTCGAGCGAACTTTCTGCAAGCTGATAATAACATGTTTTTAACTACCTTTGAGAAACCACTTCCTTCAGCCTGAGATTTCGTACAGTATCTCAGTTCACACAAAATAATAAGTTATAATTCACTCTATTTCTCTACTTATCCAAGCATCTGCAGCCACTTTATTATAAATAAATTTACTTTATATTGATCGCCATTTATTTTAATTGGTCAGCAGCTCGTCTGATGAAAGTTATCCCACATGGATGGGTTGTTAGATTATAGATTACCAGAATAAGAAGCCCGATATAGGTTTTTTGAAACCATGTGTGCTATTTAAACTCACTCATTTTGTATGAGGACGATTTCAGTTTCCTGTCTCTACTAAGCACATATACGGGTAAATTACCACTTTACACTTTAGAAACCTCAGCATTGATAGAATTTGAAAGGTAGTCGCAACTTTACCTTTAAGCTTGGTAAGTCAATAATGTTTTATTTGTTGGAGGATTGAAAATTGACCGGAAGCTGTGGACAAGTTCCGTATTTGATAGAATCCAACAGTTATGTTTTCAAGAGGATATGAAACTAACATTCTTTGTAGAAAACCATCCATTGTCCGATATATCTAATAATTATAGGTTCAGAAAGACAGGTAGAAACTTAGCTGGTCGACTTTAGACACGATAACTTACAAGAGACACTATTACAAAGGATGAAATGACAGATATTAAAAAGTGCACAGAAAGATACTATTAGTGAACTCGGCTCCAACACTATTTACTAGAATGATTAAATATGCTACATAGATATGGCTCTGTAATCGACTATATGAGCGAATGTTGAAACGTTATTTCTAACTTAATGATTTCGAGAAAATTGACAAAACTACCGGATACTCATATCAACCATGTTTTATTCTAATACTAGACAAAGTAACCGTTTACCACTAGGACTAGGTTTTTATGCGGTAAAAACAGACATGGTACAAGTACATAAATAATAGCGAATGCCATATTCTTATAAAAAAATGTGACTATATGGTACTAACAGTTAAGTCACAAGTTATGAAATGTAAGCAGGGAGCATCTGTTTTGTGAGAATGTTACTAGTTCAATCACTATCTGAAATTTAGGATGCATGAATCAGGAAGAAGACATTAAGAAGCATATTTGTGGGAATATCATTGATATATATTATAAAAGCACACTATCAGCAAACAACCAACTTGAAGAGCGAAATCTTCTGACGGTTTGGGTAGGAACATGACGTGGACTTATGCTAAAATTCTGTAACTAAATGTCCTGAGTACTTAAAGCACCCATGTAAAGCTAGGATATGGAAGCGACACACACCAGAATAATGCCCAAGCAAAAAATCAAGTTGGCGTTATCGATTGAACAATCAGAAAGACAAAACATCTCATCGGAGACACAAACACTTCGTGCAGAACCACGTTACAATTCCATGCTCTAATGCTTTAGTACACCACGGGTTCTCATTATTAAGTGGATAAAAAACGCCATATTTTAGAATAAGTGTATTTAAGTCACGTAAATAAAGTTACATCTTGAATGCACACGGTAACACGAGGTGACAGCTAGGTCCATTAAGAAAAATATGGAAGATCTTTAGAGAACTACAAAACCAGTCAAAATAAGGTAGGCGTACCTGATCTATAATAACCTGGATAGACTTCGAATAATCTTCTATTCTTCCTTTTAATTCCTGAGCAAGCTTTTCTTTTCTTGTGCACTCAGCATTTAGAGCATCAATCTCCTGAAACATGACCAGTATTAACCCTGAAATACCTCTTTCAAAGCATATTCCGGACAGTATGTTGATAGTGCGAGGCGCTTCTTAATAAACCATGAGTCCATTTGTCGGCAAGCGTCTAAAAGTGACGCCATATGCTTATCATTTAATCCATGTTGTGATTCTGAAATGTCGGAATCATGCAAACTGGTCGAAGAAAGTACCATAAATATATTCTTTAAGAAATGCATTTTAACTCATTCCTTACATCTAGCTGAGCTTCAAGATCAGAAAGAACTTTCTCATCCGAGTCCATCGACCTTGAACCAAATCAAGTAGTTTCCAATATCCAATATCTTTTTCACAAGCTAGAATAAACCGATAAATTTCTTTGCGCTCGATTCTTGTTCTTCCGACGCGGTTCCAGGCGTTTGTTAGTGTCCAATTAATGGGGGCCTAGCCACTCAAATGTCTAATTCTAGTCTGTTGGCAGTTGGTTGTGAGTTTGTATGCCTCGGGATTGAATGAAAACGTTTGTTTCAGGGCAATGGGGTTTCTGCACACTAGCAGCTATCAGATTACCTGACCGTAGATCAGTTAGTTGCAATTTGGGGAATAATGAGGATAAAATTCTAACACTAATATGAATAAGATTTCAGAACTAAGTATTATATAGATGATTTAGTTTATTAATTGGTAATGAAGATTGTGAGAGAGGACCGAAGTGTAAGCAAGTGAGAGGTAACAGATATAATAGGCGAGACAGAATAACTGAATGATCTGAGTGGATGGCAATGATATCAACTAGCAGGTCTCAAGATATGCGTCAAGAACAGCTTGTCCAAGGGGGGAGATGATAATCTGTATGTGAGTACGTGATTATCAAGTCTCTTCTTAAAGCTGTCCACTGAGGGGGGCTGCGGGCCCCTTGGCTGCGAAAGCACTCAATGAGAAAAAGTGTGCAGGAACCTGAGTATTTGCAGTTTTTCTAGAATTGCCTCCAAGAAAGTGGTGGTGATGCATCGGTAAGATGCTCATGTTGCAATGATTTGGCGTTTGTACGCCATAATCAGATCATTATGGTCCTCCTGTAACTCAGTGGGAATAATCTCAAGTGCTGGAGTCCGTCTTCTTAAAGTTTATTTTTCAACTCTATCACACATTCCGTTGCTCGCCTCTGCACTCCGTACACTCAGTACAATAAGTCTCTCGCATTTTTCAAACAGTGGCATAAATGACACTTAGAAGGAATTGTGCCTATCTGTTTACCAAAAAGGTACGTAACATCATAGTTTATTACAGTGTCGTCCAACTCATGGGTTATTGTCTAACTTATTCTGCTGACATGAAACTTCGACATAACTTGGTAGCATTCCTCGACTGTGTTCCGTAGATTGTGTCTTGGTAGTTTGACAGTGTCATTGGTCATGGAAAGATGTTACTTGTAGTTATTCTTCCTATAGACTAGGGGGCAAGGCAACTTAGATAATAATGGAGCTAGTCAGGGACTATCTCTGATAATCATCAATCTTAATACCTTTGGAGCTCAAGTATTCGTCATGGATTATACTTTCAGCAAGAATTTTCACAAATTGTTGCAGTCACGAAGCAGTCTACAAGGGTTTTAGACGAGGTCTTACTCGTTTTATTCTTAATTCCTTGTACTGTGTGACTTATCACTGAAACATATCACTATAAGCAACGAGTGGATGTGTTTCGGAGAAGTGGTCCAACTATTCCAGACAGTCATAATTTTTACGCCTTAGTATCTACCTAATAGGAGTTTGTTTAACAACTTTGAGAGGATGGGACATTTTAGAAGGCAGTTGCACAGAAGTTCGTCTAAAAATCTTTCTACAACCCTTGCTACTGTGAAGAGCAAGAAAATCAATCGGTGGTGGGATGCTTCTTAGTTGTCACCGTCATTGCATGCAGGCATTAACACTTCGTTTTTACAGTCCGAAAGTAATTTATACGTATCATCATTCTTGAGTATGATGAGCCAGCTAAGTTTCATTATCACTTATTGTTCATTCGAAAATTTGGTGGACTATTACTGGACATTGTGAATGACCTCTACCTGAAGTAGCATACTTCCAGAAAGACTGGCTAACCGAAATCAGCATGAACGGTCTCACTCTGATGATAGAGAGCTTATCTTCCTACAGAGAATAATGGCAAACGACACAGTTTACCGAATGAGGTTTAAGGTGACAGATGCATATAAAGCTCTCATGGATATAGAGGTCATAGTAACGTCGCTGTTTAGAACATCTTTTTATAAGAAGATCTCACTGTAAGTTAAACCAGAAGTCAGGAGCAATGGAGTTCGAAGATATTTTTAGAAAATAAGAGGAGCTTCAAGGAGTTTGTAATATGAGCTCACCGGTTACTATAAGACATGCTCAACAGCGTGTCCAAACTTAATTTGATTGGTATGTGTTGCCCAAACTGCTCCAGAAAAGAGCCTGTTCGGCATCATAGCTGGGGATAGTAGTTACTCAACTTTTAAGAAGAAAACGCGATTGATCAAATAGAAATATTCATCATTATAACCGAATGTTTGACTGACCTTGTTTACCCGTACTCTGTACGCACACTTTTTGTTTTTGTTCTTGCCATCTTGGTTATACTGCTTGATGTATCTTCGCCCACGTACCACGAGGTCTCCATAACCATGCGCCTTCTTCTGGATTACATTTTCTTCCTGCTTTGTTTTTGACGAGATAACTATCAGTGGTGAGAAATTAATAGGTTTGTAGTGGTGTACATTGTCAACCTCGACTGGAGCCACTACAAGAACTATTTATTTCCGGTGGTAACTAATCGCTACTTATATATGGCTTTTGTGAAGCCTGAATTTACTTTACCCACTTCCTAATGATATGACAGACTTGCGGACCTACCCCGGATCTTCATCTTTGCTACAAATGAACTCTTAAAATGATGACTAGTGAATTGGTGTTTTCTGCTGGTTCACTGATAAACAAAAAGAAAAGGAAATCTGTTCAAATCTTAATACTACCATTCGTACCATTAACCCAATCAACCAACAGCCTATAAATCCAGTAATAGTAATCCAGTAATATTGCTAAAATTAGTTTCAATAATTAAACCAACCAACAGCATAGGGTTGGTTAATAAAACTGGGTTAGATTGAGAATGAATGGTAACTATGTAGTAAAATAGGAAAACCATATCGTGAACCGGTAATTTGCAAAACATCAATCGATTGTCTGACATTCACTGTTCATGCTTTTCATACAAATTCCATTGTGGTCCCACTCTTCCTTTCTTGATCTTCCCCTATCTTCTGCTGCCTGACATAACGTTTTTACTCGCGTCATATACTACTTATAAGTAGCACCACAACTGAAATAAGAATAGTATTGGAATATCATAAAGGTTATTCCCACCAATAATTTATCGGAGCTCTAGCACAAATGGTACTAGAATGACCAGTAGCCGTATTGGCATGCTGTATTATGAACCCACAACTTTGAATTCAGTCTAAGTTTAACTAGAATGCACTAAGAGAACATATATCCTGTAATAAAATCTGCCAAAAATTATGTAGATCGTATATGGAAGCGAATTAATGCAGCTAGGTTGATAGAAAGGTAAAATCACTCCCAAAGACCATACATTTTGGTGACATTGACAGGTAACTAAGGTGTGTTTGCTCGACACCTTTTACTTTACCGTGAATGAATAAGAATGTAGTTCTCAGTGTATTGGAAGAATGGGTTGTGTAATCCGGTCAACTTAATTCTACTTAGTTTTCAGTGTGCAGTAATATGAACTCGAGGCCAGGTAACCTATTGAAGAGGCTAACCCAGCCCAGTAATTTGCGACTATAGAATCACTACTTATCATGTTTTCAGAAATCTTGTAGGAATGACTTCCTTTTTGATATTAGCAGTCACAGTGAATGATTCACAGTTTTGTAAAACGCTAAGCTAACCACTGATCTTGGACGAAAACTCGTCGATTTTCGAAAGCTTAAGACCGACAGACAATAAAGAAATATTTGAAAGACTCACTTCAGACTGATTATACTTATTCGCACCACGTTCATCTCGTCTTTGTACAGTTCCTACCACAAGTTTAACGACTACTAACATATATTGCCTGTAAAGCGTTACTGAAGACTCTTGGGACCGTACAGTTTAATTACATTCTAGTACGAATATGAAAAATATTTCCAATAGTCCCATCAAGCGCCCATAGATTTTTGGGTGACAACATCAGTTTCCTAAATTTTCTTATGACGAAGTCGTTCTCGAAACGAGGAGAAAACGTTCAGAAGACAGGCAGATGTTCCAAAGGCTGCTGTTAGACAGCAATCCGTATCACCATTATTGTCGACGATGGTAGAATAACCCAAGACTCTACTGTAAACCATTTGAAAGAGCTGACAAAGTAGTTGTCAGCCACTCATTCGATCACGTCAAAGGATGATAACCAAACATTACTAATCTCGGTATAATCGTAACAAGATTTGAGTAGTATGATTTCGTGAAAAGAACATGATTTTGTTCAGAGTTTAAGATAAGTTTGAAAGTTGTGGACTCGGTCTATGATATGAAAGAGCGGGTTAAAAACTGTCTGAGGATACTAGATCCTGGTTGTTTAGAGCGGTTTTCTGCCCAGCCGTAATGTCATTTTTCAACTCAGGGTTAGTCTATAACGACAGATACCGGAAATTAACTGGAATCCAATCGCTTTTCGACAGTCCATCTGATATCCGGATAGGGCGCAAATAGAACAGCATTTCATCATCTCATTAGCAAAAATTGAGTAAGGGACAAAGACAAATCAGCACGAAGGTTTTGTGCATCAATAATTCTGGCCTATTTACATCAGGATAAATGATAAAAAGGGACCAAGTTAATTGACATGTTTCGAATAGGGAATGTTAAGAAATTTAAAGTACAAAACGAAGGACTCGTTAAAAATAAATGATGAAAATACCACTTATCTGGTAGGAATGACTGAAATGTGGATATGACAAATTAGAGGCCGTAAAATAGGATATCCACCGTGTAAGTCTGAATTAGGAGGCAGAGCTATTCTTTACATAGGTTCCTGCTTGACGGCATACCAACTATACACTCAAGAGTTCATCGATTTCTACAGAATTAGTCCACAGAAAAGTTTGTATTAGTAACTCTTAAACAAGTTTTGGGTAAATTGACAGTGGCATTTTGAGGTTGATTTATAACAGTTCCATATGATGCTGCCTAGGGAATGGAAGGCTAGTCATGTATTTATTTCGTGAGCGGATATCCTTGCTTTATGGGTTATTTCACGAGTCATGCGATCTTTGCCCTTCAGGATAAAGGTGATATAAAGGCATTGTGGTGTTTCGTTCTCTGAGCTGGATCTTTCGGTTGTGGAGCTTTCATTGTTCTTTTGAACAACATCATCAGCACAAACTTCAGATAGAAGTGACGAATTCAAATTTCTCTAAGTTTGACCTGTAGCTTGTTCTGCTAACCTCGATCTTGATTGGTTGCTGTTGACCTTAAACCTGTTGTTGTTTGCACCTTTGTTTTGATTGTATCCCCCTTTTGATCCGTTTTTTAATCCTATGTCATCTGTGGTTTTCCTGACTGGTTGATAAAATGGGTCAATGTCAATGTGCTAGTTGATTGCTGATTGACCTGAGTGCCAAGCTTCTAAAAATTCTCTAGTATTCTTTGTCCTCCCTCTACCCAGTATTTCCAAATTGTTCCAATCGAATGTATGTATGGGTGAATAAATCAGAAATAATAGTAAGCATACTTACTACTTCTCATGAGTAATCAAGCCTTAAGTCGTTCTGCCGGCGAAATCGATCTAAGTAACTCTCCCCGAGCAATTTCATTGAACAGTATGATCCTATAATGCCGAACAATAATTTTGAGGAAACTTATTGATTTAAAGAATGGTAAAAACGTTAATCTCGAAACATGTCTCTTTATTAGGAATTTCACGCTCTTTAACTTGAGCGGAAGAAAAGGCGACAATTTTGATAGTCGTGGCCGAATGCACATTTTTCAAGGCCGCGACCTAGAGCACTAGGCCCGGCGTGGTTTTTATAATGCCAGAGGTCGCTCATCAAGATGACGGTAAAAAGACAAAGAAGGAACTGAGAAAATTGCAGAGAGATACAGGCAAACTAAAGGTTCACGAAGCAGGTGATGATCAGGTGGATTTCAATAATTTCTTTTTGATAACGGAACAACTGATAAGTAGAAAGTCCCTGTGATTACACTAGCGGAAGGTGGAATACTTGCAGCAACAGATGTATATGGTATCTTCCCACTATGCCAGTCACAGTTTACTGAAGGACCCAAGTACACTGAACTAAAAGAGTTGTCAAATGAGTCAAATATCGACCGAAATGTGTGGGTTCGTGGACGTCTTCATAGAAGTCGAATGAAGGGAAAACTATGTTTCTTCATACTTCGTCTACAAGACTATAGAGTACAGAACGTGCTTTCTGTTAGTGAGCGCACTCCAAAAGAAATGTTGGCATTCGTATCCAGGTAACTTGCTATGTAGCTGCTGGTACTTTTCTTATGGCGTACACATGAGGCATCTCCAACAACTATTTCGATTATTGTCTAATCAGACATATAAACTGGCTCATAGTCCACGTTTGTACTGGTTATGATGTCTGTGAACTGGTCCTTTGAGTTTTGACCATTGATTCCTGGTGCACCTCGTCATTCTCGTTAAAACTGTTGGTTCATTTCACCACACTATGTATATGTACATAAATATATATGTATATTTACTGTATGCCACTGTCAAATATGTGTTTGATGATTGTGGGATCCTAATCATAGTCTTATCATCGTAAACCGTTCATGTTTGTTGTTTTACCAGTTGAATGAATGAGCTAGTATTTTGTAAGACATTTAGCGAGTTGCTGAGGTTCATTGTTAGTTTAGCTCTATCTGTTTATTTTGTCTTCATGTCTTTTTATTGTCACAAATTTTAAAACTATGTAGCATGTAGATTATTTATCGGTAATACTACGTATTTTATAATCAAGTCCTCCCGTAACTATGACAAGCGGGATATTTATGGTTCATATTCTTGGGTCGTAAATTGTGCTCCTCAACCGTGAGTTAAGCTTAAAGTAAAATCTAAAGGCCCTATGTAGGCTAAAACTGCTGTAGAATAACTGTTCGGTTGCATTATCCCGTTACCAAACTGTAACTACTTAGCAAACTTGATGTGATGTAGATGCTTCAAAAGTCTTAGAGCAGGGAGGATTCAAGTCTTTGTAGATTGACTACTTAGTTTTCGAAAAATTCATTTTCTATCGGGTAATTAACCTGTCAAGGACCACTAGTACGATAATATAGTTCCATCTCAACTCGATATCCGCGTTACACTACACTGTTGACAACACCAAGACTACGGCTGACATTATGCTTTGCGTCATCCTCTTTAACTTGTCCCAATCGTTACAAGAACAATGCCGTTAAAGAAGAATCATATAATATGTTTAGTTCATAATTTATTCTGTTTAAAAGATGGAACAGAGCAGCTAAGTCTATCATACTATATAGCGATTAGCATAACCTGAAACAATGATTGTGACCCTCACCCCCTTTTTCTACCCAATTACTATATGTTGGCTCTCGTTTTTTGATAAAGCATTTCCAAAGAGTCGATCGTTGATGTTTATGGGCGAGTTTTAAAAAGTCCTGTTCTCATTGAAGGCTGCAACCCAGATACTATTGAAATCCATTGTGAAAAAGTGTTTGTCGTAAGCGCCGCCCTTCCAACTTTGCCTCTACAAATTGAAGACGCAATGAGACCTGATGACGATGAAACGGTTAGTTATGTGTTGTATCTATGCATCTTGTTTTCGTGTACACTCAATTGAGATGTGAGTAAATCAAATACTTCTAAGTACTCAGTCTATAATATCAAAGACTTGATAATGTAGCTTTTTTTTAGTGAAAATCCAATTGTAAATATTATATTTTAAGTTAGCGGTTTCGAGGGATTAGTCATTTTTCTGTTGCATACATGCTATTTTAAAAACCATCAAGCTGTCAATCCCAGTTTCTTAGCGATTAAATTTTCAGCCGTTCCCTAGAGTAAACTCGAACTAGGTTTTAGTGAGGCATTTTACACCGAAGATCCTCTGTCACAAAAACCCGTATTTCATAGTTGTTCATGGTTCCACGATTTTCAGTAGTTGTTTAGATGATATTTTTCGATGAAGAAACGTCCAAATATAGTATATTACTTATTCAGAGGATTGAAAAACATTTAGTAGGTATAGATGATTATATGTGAAAATCTGATGTTGGACAAAATATCTGTGTAAATGCTACACCGGATATCTCATATAGAAATTCGAGTTCAGCTACACTTGCCGATATAAGCCTGAAATTATATTGTTCAAGTGCAAACACTATATTGAGTTTTTGCTTTACTTCCAGGCTTTGAGTCGAGTTAATCAAGATACTCGTTTAGATAATAGATGCATTGATTTGAGGACTCCAGTAAATCAAGCTATTTATCGGGTTGAAGCTGGTGTGGTCCGGTTTTTCATGGAATACCTTACCAATGCCGGGTTTGTGAATATCCATACTCCAAAAATGATTTCAGCTGCTTCTGAAGGAGGTGCAAATGTTTTCAAAGTGTCCTACTTCTCTGGTAGCGCCTATTTGGCCCAATCACCTCAGCTATATAAACAGATGGCCATAGCGGCTGACTTTGAAAGAGTATGTTCCTTGTATGAATTAAGGTATTCGTAAATGTTAAATTGAATTCCTATCAAATTTGAATTTCAGATTAATTTTGAAACGCATACTTGTTCACTAGACTTAACTGTTAACACTTCAGAACCTCAGTTTTTTGAGTTCTGTTGTACACTAAAAGGTACGAATTTATCTTAATCTGGTAACTTCGTTTTACCTATAAGTACACTGTGCTGTGTGTTTGGTATGATCTTCATTTCAATGATAGCTATGAAATAGTGTGTCTATTTACTATCCATCTGGGGCGGCCAGACCAAAACATGGCAGAAACCCATCAAGTCACTGACAAGGGGACTGAGTCTTGTTGGTAGGTGTCGACTGCCTGGTTGGGGCCCGCGAGATGATAGTAATCGATGGTTAGATATCCTGAGTGACATGGCTCAAAACCGTTTGCAATGGCGCAGGTGCATTCATTCTTTGTGTTCTCTCAAATCCTAACCTGAATTCCTCATCACCTTTATCTTTTTCTTTTAAAGTTTATTTCACTAGATTCTACTTCTTGAATAATATCGTCAAACCCTAATCTCCGATTACTGCTAATACTTTTACTACCTCTACTACTATGGGATTCGAATTGACAATTGCATCTCTGTGTTAATGTGGTATGGTAACTGGAACTGGTGTACGTACGTACGAAGTTCTACGTTTCTGTTCATTGATTGATTAGTCACTATCCATCTTGTCAAAATAGTAACTTTCCAAGTGAAATTTAAAAACTTAGCGCCAGTGAAGTATATAAATACGACCTTATCAAATATTGAACCTCCCTAGTCCGTGGTTGGTAAGTATTTACACTCCAGAGATCGACATCAAATAAACTTATTAAAAGTCGTATGCATTGAGATCCCAAATAATAACTTTTTGGCTCATATAGCAGTAATCAGTTTATTGCCTGTCTGTCGGAGTACATGTTTTTGTTCTCCATTAATTTCAATTATGTCTTCACTTTTAGTTGTAGAGTAAACACAAACGAATATACTGTGTGGTCATTTGTATCAGATTTCATTATTTTAACGTTTGATGTTGAATTTACAGCACATTAAGAATTTTGCTCTCAGTAGAAAGTTAGGACTCCTAAAACAAGCCCTTTTTAAACAAGCAAACAGTGTTTTTGTCCCTAAAAGTAAAATTTTGTCGCTCAACACTTGAGAAACATGGTTTTGTAGGTTTTACTGCTTAAGACTTTATCTACATTCGATAAGTAGAAAAGCTTTTTAAAGAATCATCTGGGAAGTTTTATATTTGGGAGCTCTGTTGTAGTAGTGGAATATGTAATTCTGGATATTTAAAGTATGGTACTCATCAAGTCATTATAGATTCACTATAATATCAAATTTTAGCCTAGTAATACCGGTAATATGTACAAATTAAAATATGAAAGCAACAATCTGTAAAAAAAGGTTCATGATCCTCCATATAATTTCGTAAAGTGAATGCTAACCAAAATCTTTTCAAGCGACAAACGTCCAGACAATGTACCTAGAACCAAAGAACTAAAAATTTTCACAATCATTACATTTATTGGTATCATGAATGAACCGTTTTTCTAAAAAAGAAGTTAAATTTTACATTAAACATACGTGTTTTATCCGAGCAGATCGATACATATCGTAAGACTCCTCAAAGTTGTTAACCTGCTCAAATACTACTGTTTAAGTTACAGTGAACGAAGGACTACCTGCTCATATATTTAAACTAAAAGGGGATAGTTTTGGATAGTTAATCCTCGTAACTTCAGCCTTTGGTTAGTTCGCCTTTAGCCTGAAGGTACCTGGAGTAATGTGTGGGTGCAGCGTATGAGATAATTTGCGAGAGGAAAGAACAGGAGAAAAGACGAGCCAACGACAGTAAGCACGTCCTACTTCTAAGAAGATAAATAGAAAATAAACTCTTTTCCCGTATATTTTGTAGTTAAATTACAATAAAAATGTCCGTTAGTAGTTACGCCTGATGCTGTAGAGAATTTTTAGCGTAATCACTTTGTGTACAAGCTCACTCTATTGATATTTTGACTTTTTAATCGAATCGGTCTGTTTTAGTGTTTGTACGTAATTGTACTTGAGGAGTCATAAACGCATCCATATTTCGCATCATTCTTTTAACGTATACCTAAGAAAGGCTACCAAACAGTATACCACTGTAGTTACTGAGCAAGTACATGACTGATGCAAAACCTGTTAACTGGACATACTCAATGTGACTCATTGTATCATCATATAAACTGAAAAACACCCGTAAGGGGATTAATACTCTACAATCTTGTGATCGATAATTTTTATCGAGAAATTTAGCTTTTAATTCGATTAAAGGCAGTAATTTTACAATACGCCTCTGTTTACATAGATTTTTGTCACTGATTGGGGAGCGCTTTTAATTTCTGTGCTCTGTAAATGTCCATACTTTTTTTTATCGGTTTCATTGTTTTCGCTTATTTTTGGTTTACAAACACTATGAAAAGGTCTATAAGCTCTTTCTTCTAACTTTGAACGAGTTGTTTCACAGGAGTTGAGTGCTCAGTTGATATGAATTATTGAGGAGAGAAATTATAGTTGTAAGATTCTCTAAGATTGAAAGGAAAATGCTTGGGCCAGATTGTCGAACGAAACATTGAATTTACTTGGAGTACAATTGCTGAGAATTTTACCAATACAACTTCCCTCAATATGAAAAGATCTACATCCAAGCTTATTGTTTCTGATTAAAACTTCATAATTATGTGATTATAGTTATTTAGTAGCTCATAAATTAGATTTATGTCATAACATCAGGTCCTTTTTCCATCTCTTTTGTATGATGATTGTGAATATATTGTCTTGATTTATTTTTTACAAAGGTCTTTACTATAGGCGCAGTATTTCGTGCTGAAGATTCTAACACACATCGACATCTTACAGAATTTGTCGGTTTAGACATAGAGATGGCATTCAAAAACCATTATCACGAGGTGGTCGATCTTATTGCAGATATGTTTGTTCATATGTTCAAAGGATTGCAACGCGAGTAAGAAATGTTTTGTCTTTTCGATACTCCTTTTTCTCGTTAATAAATCTTCGCGAAACATTATTTTGTTGAATATATACTGTTTTTTATATTTGTTTTCTGGCACCCATTAACAGACAGTTTTAACGGTAGGCGCATATCCTTTTGGACGAAATCTAAGCAATTAGTTTGCACACACCAATCATATCTAGAATACACTTTTTGGTACAAAATTTGGTCAGTTTATAATTTTCAAAATATGGTGTTCTACTTTTTTTGCTTTTTAACAGAAATGCCCCTTATCCGAAAATTAAATACCTTAAGTTTTACAATAATGAATTCCCACCTATTGTCTTAGTATATACTCTAGGAGTACACAGATTAAAACATAACATCAGTCTATAAAGTCGTCAATCCATAAGTAAGTATACAGACATGGTGTTTTGGACCCACGCAATACTCATAATGGTAAGAAGTGTTAAATAATGTGACGTCTATTCCATCGTAGTGGTGCAATGGCATCAGGCTAATGTCTTCTAAATCCCAAGTATAGCTCCCAAATTTTCATCATTTGATTTTGTTCCTGTGAAACTGTATCCACCGCGTTTGGATTCTCACTAGAGTTGATATTGTCTCCAATCTTATGTTTCCCATTTTGTTGATTGGATATCGTGTACTGATGTAAGGTGTGACAATTTCGATTGAAGTACATTCGCTTCAGGTCCTGCGTTAATAAGTACTAGTTGAAGTTACAGCTAACCCGTATACATGTTATTTTCATCAAATGTTTCGAAATTTTCTTTTGAATTCACACATTAAATAAAGTTTGTAAATGCTGTGTCTGTGATTTTTTTCAATATGAGGTTTGTAAAATTAACTCTTATTTGTAACTTTAATGATTGATTTTATCTTGAATCTTTATTATGTATTGTATTTCTTTTTTAAAAAAATTTTGTAGATATCAAACTGAAATCCAAACCATATGTCGACAATATCATTCTGAACCATTTGAATTCCTTGAACCTACGTATGTTTACCGTCATAGATTGTGTAAATAAATTTTTCTTTTGCTTATTTATTATAATATATTATTATTTTGTCAAATAAAGAAATCAGTTATACGATTGTCTCAGATGCATCCACTCTTTGTGTTCTATGAAATTCTAACCTTTCGAATTCCTCATAATCTCTATCTTTCTCCTTCTAAATTTATCTTACTGAATTATACACTTCTCGAATCATATCTTCTCTCCCTAATCTTCTCCATTACTGCTAATACTTCTACTATCACTATCACTTGGATTTGAACTGACAATTGCGTCTGTGTGCTGATGGGGCATGGCAGTCTGAACTGATGTACTTACGTACGAAGTTCTGCATTGTATCTGTCTGTTATACGATTGTATTCATGTTGATAGAATCAATAATAATAATAATGATAATATTAGCAATATTCATCTTTTCCTATTTATCCTTTTTTAAGTTTACGCTTACAATATCGTGATGCGATACGAATGTTACAAAATGCTGGTTGGGAAATTGGCGAATTAGATGATTTAAATACACCGGCTGAAAAATTCCTTGGTAAACTGATCAAGGAAAAGTATCATACAGACTTCTATATTCTTGATAAATTTCCACTTGATATTCGCGCTTTCTATACTATGCCACATCCTACTGATAAGGTATGCCATTTTTATGACAAGAACTGATTAAATGAGAACCTTTTTGATTATTCTTACGTGACATGATAAATTACTTGCTCTGGTTTGTACTGATTACTAAATTCAAATACTTGAGAGGATGGCGCTAAATCAAACTCCCTAGTAAAGAAACGTAAACAGTCGTTTTTTAGTCGAATTTAGTTGATGTGTGTTTATAACTCAATTGTAAGTATTGTGTATGTGAAATTTTCAGTCTTTCAAATTCGAGTGTGGCAAACAAGGTCTTAGACACGTTTCTTTATGATAATAATTTGAATTTCTGTTGACCATAATCGTGAAAATAAAGTAGGTCCATTGAAAAAGTGACTTATTACCATTGCAAGGGATTCTGAATTGTTCTGAATTCCAAATCTAGTTGATTTGAGTAAACGCCTTATTTGCATACTTACCCGTAGCTATGGACTTAAAAGTTGGTAAGGAATTTCCACTATTAAGATGTATTGCATGAATTCAGTGGTTAGGCAGTATACACAATCATTAACCTTAGTATTATAATAGTTTTATATGTCAACGTTTAACGTAATTCATCTAAAAATAGTTGTACATAAGGATTCGTTCTGTAACCCTATGTAACTACACAAAGTTTCAATACGTGTCAATGATTTAAATAGAAACTTATTTGAAAAAAACCAACATGCACTTTGTTATAATGGCGTATAATAAAAAAAACTATTAACCCCAGTCATTGTTTATTTCAAACAGGACTATTCTAATTCTTACGATTTCTTTATGCGCGGAGAAGAAATCATGTCTGGAGCACAACGTATTCATGATCCAGTCCTTTTAGCGGAACGTGCTACACATCATAAAGTTGGTACGTGTAATTGTCTTCTTTATTATTCTTCAAAGTATTTTTAACTTATTGTGCCTAAACTTGCTGTTAAATTACACCGATAGGTTACAATTCTCACTTTGTATCAAAATGTCAGTTCAAAGATCTTCTTTTGGCCGATCATAACAAGTTAATAATTCGTTTTGCTAAACTAAACTGTTGATCTCTTTAACGTTTGTACTTGCAAGTTATACATTTCAACCGACTGGTAAATTGATTTAAATTTTAGGTTCGCTATTACACCAAACCAACATTGATTTTATTTAATTTAGATTCTTTTGTTGATGAGTGATATATATGTATACAAATTATTTATTTTAAAATAAGGCATTCATATGCGTGCTGTTAACATCTGGTTTTGTTGAAATTTACATTCAAGACTCAGATAGATTATGTTGTAGATCACTGATTGAAAAAGTGAATTTGACGAATATAGATAATCATTCAGTGACTACCACCGCCCATTTTGATTAATTATATCGATTGTTATATTTGAGAGGAGGCTATACTTTTAGCATCTGGCTAGCACGTTTATAAAGTTATTGACTATTCATGATAATGATATATTTATGTAATACAGCAAGCATATTCATTACTCACAGTTATACTAAAATGATGCTGCTGTTTTCACTTATTATTTACCATCTATCCTTTTCATTTCTATCTATGTGGACCAGTGAACTTATTCTTAATGCTTAAGATCTACATAAAAACCACAACTCTGTATACTTATGTCCGATTCCATGCTGAAGGTTTACTATGATAGTATGAAGTTGTAGACTAAAAATTAGTATTCTCAGAGTTGTAACATTTATGTTTGTGTGGATTGATTGTAAATTGCTTCACACCAATATACTGCACACGTCTACAGTATATTTGTGATAAATGACTATGCTCTCTAAGCGTTACTTTTGGTGTTTGCTTCTTTCTGACACTTGATATCCATTTAAAAAGAAAAGATTCATGTTAGTGTATGAATCCATTTAAGAACTAAAGATAGCTTTAAGTATGATTACAGCTCTTATGTAATTGTCTGTTGATTCGAAACTTCAACTGTTATATCTCATATTATTTAGCTGTTTGATGTATTTTCTGTTACAGATCTGGAAAAGATTAAAGCATACATTGACGCTTTTCGTTATGGTTGTCCACCTCATGCTGGTGGCGGGATTGGTAAGTTACTATACTTTTCTAAGATATTCGGTCATGTATACGTAACTTCAGTTGTTTGTAATATTGTTTTATTAGAAGACAAGACTAGTTATAATGACAGGTGTGAGTAGATTTAATCACAAGATTACAATGCACTAAGAGTTGCATAAACTATAGGGTTTGGGGCAGTTCTAAGATTACTGATTGAAAAGGTTAAAATTTTATTTTAACTGAGTGTAAATACGGAACAGAGAAAATGTGGTGATAACGCACGGAGTGATTCTTTCACACAATCAAAATCTTTGGATTCTCTATCATAATGTTTTTTAGACTATAAGAGTGCAACATTAATTTTTCTATTGATCTATACTGTAATTCCACTATTGCTTTACGTATCCCTTTTTTACAGAATATGTTTACTGTATTTTAATTAATCCATGTTTTCAATATTGAATTCTAGGTCTTGAACGAGTAACTATGTTGTTCCTTGGACTGGATAATATCAGGAAAACTTCAATGTTCCCACGTGATCCAAAGCGATTGACTCCTTAATTTATAAATTTTCTATAAATCTTTAACTTGGTAGCACTTCGTGTTTTGTTTCTGTTACTTCGGAATGTATTGGAATAATTTGCTTACTTACTTACTTACTTACGCCTGTTATCCCCACCGACCAGTTTCCTGGTTAGCGTTTTCTTAGCGAGTTAGTTTTCTACGGGTCGGGGTCGCCAACCCCATGCCCAACCCTCCTTTATCCGGTCTTGGGACCGGCAGTAGCTTCAGAGGTTATCTAGGCGTAGTTATTGGAGTAATTTAGGTATTTATTAATTGACAGAAATAGTTGTCTCCAGTTACTGGAACTCTTATCAGTATTTTCGTTTGTTGTTATGCTGGCCAGCCTTTTCACTCGTTACTCGCTTTTTATTTTAAGACATCAAATAAACGTGTTGAGTTAGGTTTTTCGTAACTCATGCAGGTTTCATTGATCAGTGTTAAACAATCTTTCAACTCCCAACTTTTCATGTATTGTATGTAAACCAAATAGTCTTCAATTTATAATGGAATAATACTTTAGAATCAGTTTTACAGTTATATAGGGAATTTGTTAACATTCCTCTGAAAAAACCCCTACTTTTGTATTGTTTGGTCTATAATAATTTAAAAGTTGGTCAGTATTGTTCCAAATAATGATTAAAATCAAATATGTGGTCGTTAAAAAGCATTTTCAGGAAGCTTACTTTTATGGGAATGGTTTTACAACTGAATACATTTGTAACTTAGTATTATGCGAATAGTGTTGCCAAACTGCCGTTGTGCTTCACATGAAACATTTTCATCATCAGTTGTTCGCTTATTTCATGATACTTTCTTAGCTAAGCAATATTCCCTTTCAAAATGTTCGTTGAGATCTTGATTAAAGTTAATGATAAACAATCACCTTGCTATTGAAAGTATGTAAATCGAAATGTTAACAAATACAATACTAGGGGTGAGATATTTCACCAATTTCTGTTACTACTGTATTTCTGTACGTTTTACTATAGTTTAACAGTGATACTAGAAAGTTGACTATAGTCGTTCGTGTGAATAATGTGTTTACTGCGTTAATTCGGTTAGAATGCTACATTCAACATCATCTATTGTCCTTCGAGTTGAAAAGATTTTCATGTAAACAAAGCATCAATTTATTTCAAACCCGTATCAAGCGTTATAAGATAAGTTTGTGGCTAATTATCACTGTAGTTATTACTAAAGAATAGGATTACGACGTCCCAATTTCAATCCAAAATAATGGACTAACATACCTTTATAGTTGTATCGTAGTAATCAACTGTCAAATACAATATCTGCATAAAAGGAATATACTTTTGATTAATTTGATAAATAATTCGTATAGAAAATCAAATGATTTATCTCTGATTGGTAATCAGAGTTGTACTGTGGTCCCAAAGTTGACTGGCATCTGTTAACGTAATAATACTGTCGGTCATATATCTAAACACCAACATCATAAAGCCGTCTACAATCATATGCATCCGTTTATTCTTGTGAATAAGTGCCACACTATTCAGATCTGTGACTATGACTGCAATCAATTTAGTGGACATCTAAATGATGGATATAATTCCGTAATCATTTAAAATTGACAGCAGCTGTCTTAAATAGTTTTTACACATAGAATAGTAGATTATACTAACGGTGTGATTCAGCATCATCAACATACTACTAAAACATTCAAAGGTAGTATCTAATGAATGTGAGATGAATTTTCTTTAATTATGTAAACCAACTAGCATTCTACTACGAGTTATATCTATGTACAAGTTGTAAAGCCTCATAACAGCTAATTGATGATAAAATGCGAAATCAGAGAGATGCTGGCATTAAATACGCTGAGTGATATTGAAGGAGTATTGAGTGACTAATCAACTTCTTACCTGTATGTTAAGAAAACGATGTACCGCATATGGAATTAACACGATATATTCGCATTCACAGTAATTAAATTTCTGAAGCTGATACAATTTTTTAGCATACTTTCCGCTTGATTCGAAGTACGTAATCACTATGTAACACTGAGATGCATTAATGGGATTGGTTTTACCTACTAATATAGTTTAAACATGATCAGATTATCGTCATCTATGCATCCATATAAATGGTAGGACTTTCTTGACACATCTTCATCCATCATTTTATGCATGAAGGCTTTCTTCTGACCTAGTATTAATAATCGATTAGTCACTCGAGTTGGCATACTACTTGTAAACAAAGATGGAAAGGGTCACGAAATCACATTCTGCATTCAGTGAAAACATATATCAGTTAATTTTCTAAATAATCCATGACTAGATATCGTTCGGTACGAAAATATCTGCGTTCAGTAATTACACAACTGATATATATATTTTTTTCACATTACAATGCATAATATCGGTTTAAATATAAAATAATATCAATCTTTTTGTTCACTACATAATTGTACAAATTATAAAGTTTTAAAGCAGAAACTGAACATCTTGATAAAGTAGAAGTAAATGTGTAAATTGAGTAATATTTTCACTGAAATCAGGAATCGATCGTTGTTAGACCACCATTAGTAGCCTGGAAACACTGGACGATCGTTTCGTCCTAGTATGGAAATCATCGGCAGTGTACGACCGCGACTTTTGTTCTCTGGAGCCGAACCCAGAACCTTCGGTCTCGCCCGCAAACGCATAAACTGTTGCCACTGAGCAGACATTCAATGGTGTTAATGTCTGACTACAATCAATCCATTGTATTGTATGACCTCACCCATTGTCTTCAGAGTATAATTGCCTCACATTCGACACGGCTTGGTCACCTGAACTTCAAGAATCCCTTCACGAAGCTAGTCACGAGTGAACACATGATATTTGTCATTGATAGAGTTCTGGAGATTGGTGAGTTTCATGCGAGCTATGCAGTCCTGGGTTCGATTCCCGCATGCGGGGAATTATAAGATTGCCTAGTAGTGTGATGCGCGCTACTTATAAGTAGTAGATGACGCGAGTAAAAACGTAATGTCTGGCAGCAGAAGATGGGGGAAGATCAACAAAGGAAGAGCGGAAACACAATGGGATTTGTATGAAATGCATGAACAGTGAAATGTCAGACAATGAATGGATTGATGTTTTGCAACAGGAACAGTCCAGTTCGATATGATGGATTGATATTTTGCAAATTAACGATTTACGATATGGTTTTTCTATTTTACCAATCGACTCCGTAATTTGCAATGAATACAATTCGGTTACCCTCACCGGTGTTCTCCTTCACTACAGTACTACTTAATTTCTATACGTATGATCTACTGTATTGTATGATATCATCTTAGAAAAACATGTTTTATTACAAAAAGTATTGCATTTGATATTAATACGAAAGTCATTTTGATCATGGACCAAAACATTTAAATTTAAAATTCCTTAAAGTCTGAGAGCTTAGTTTTCAAATATCCTACAAGTGATCACAGTCTGTTATAACGACCTAACACCAGATTTTACAAAGTTAATGCAGTAAATCTATAAATTTCAAAGTTTTAAACTCACTTCTATAATTGTCCAGTGTATATATATATAAGCGAACAATGCTGTTTACAGTTAGACTGTCATCAGTCTTGATATGAATATTTATTTCAAAATGTTAAACCAGTCAAGGTGATTTAAACGTTTTATTCTTCATCATTTGTATTATTTCCAAATCCTCTATTCGTTTGTATTTTTCTAGCGTCTTTCCTTTTGTATTTTTTAGCATCTAATTGTTTTACACACTTCTCATTACGTAATGTTAATAGAGCTTTGTGATTATTAGTTTAGGTGTATTTATCTAAGTTTGGCCTACTACTTCCAGTGTTGAGCTATTGTTAGAAGATCTTGCCATTGTATTTCATTATTCTTACCACTCACAGTACATCTGTCTTACGACTATCAGCTTGTACTTTTACCTTTTATATGTAGATACGTAATTTATGTGATTATGATTATTGACTCATAAATTGCTTTGATCAGTTTAACATTTTCATATAAATATTCGTGTATATTAGAGAATAAAGCCTAATGACAATCTAACTGCAAACAATATTGTTCGCTTATATGTGTTGTTCACAATGAGACTTTTAAATATAATAATAATAATAGTAAATATAAATTAACTGGCAAATTTTTATTTCTTGACATCCATAGCATCAAACTAAATTAATGATTTAAACATGCTTGAAACAGACTTATTTCTAATATCAATTGTAAGTAATTACACAACGTAATATCGACTATGTCTTGAATAGTTAATTATTGTATCATAAATCAATTGAGGAAACGAAGATCATATTCATCTAAATGCAAAGCTAATTGGATCATGTGAGTTTATTTGTTATACTCAAATATCATAAAAGATAGTGATGTTTCTTGTTTGAACTAAGGTTTATCGAACTTCTTCAAATATCTTTCAACTATTTCAATGAATGAAGTTGTTTTGACAGAGCACAAACAGGTTTGCTTACTGAAACATCAAATGTACACATGTATATGTGTTCAAGAATACATACCAACCTACAATACACATAAGAATGTGTGCATTGTAAGTGATTACTTAAGGTCTCTTTTATGTATGGATCATTCATTCATGTTCCCAATAGGGCCCGAACTCAATACATCCATATTTTAATTAAAGCGTTATAACTACATGAGTTGTCAAAGCCGATGTGTAAGATAACAGTCATCGTATTCTAACAGAAATTTACCACTTAAAGCTCTACAACGCAATACATATGTACAACTATATAAAATGTATATATAAGCAGATGCAAGAAATAATTATACAACTTAACATAAATTTTATTGAACTAGAATTAAATTGTGGTTTGCTAAAAATTCTTCCAAAACACAATCATATGTGATAATATATATGAAAAAGAAAATCAATCCATTCCTAGGATAAAACTTTGTCCTAGAGAATTATTTGAAAATTTAGAGAAATGATGAACATACAAGAAGCTTACATTTTACACCATGTGTGGTATATTATGAATAGTAATTGACTTCAGAAAGCTTTCAATGAATCGTAATTAATGATTGATAGTGTGATAACAGATAATCTGTCACAAGTGGATTACATTTTATACACTTGAACTATTTGACTACAATACAGTCAGGTAAATGATTTCTTTTCCTTTATAATACTTGGCAAATTTGAGTTCGAATCACTGTGATTTCATCATAGTGTATCGCTGAATAAAATCAAACTAGGATGAAACGGCTGTTCAGTTTTCTTAAGTGTTGAATAGTTTCATAGTTGATATTTCCTCAAAATTACATAAATATGATAGCATTACTATGGACAAACTTGGATGCATCTTCATAGTACGATAAAATGATATCCTGATGAAGTAATCAGTCACCATTCAGTCAGTCATATACAACGCAGAACTTCGTTCGTACGTACACCAGTTCCGGTTGTCGAACCACATTAACACAGAGATGCGATTGTCAGTTCAAACCCCATGGTAGTAGAGGTAGTAGAACTAGAAGCAGTATACAGAGAAATTAGAGTTCGAGGATATTATTCAACTAGTAGAATCTATTGAAATAAACTTCAAAAGAAAAAGATAGTGGTGATGAGGAAATCTGAAGGTTAGGATTTGAGAGAACAAAAAGAATGGATGCACCTGAGCCATTGCAAACGGCTTTGAGCCATGTCATTCAAGGTCTCTAACCATCGATTACTATCATCTCGTGAGCCACAACCAGGTAGCCTACATCTACCAGCATGACTCAGTCCAGTTGTCAGAATTAGTCATCATTATATTTGTGTGTAAATTACATTCTCACATTAGTTATTTTGATTGCCATAATTAGCGATCGGATCTAGAAAGTTTATTTTTATCTATCCGGATTTTATAAACCAATGACTTCCTCAATATTATGAACAATAAGAGACAATAGTTCCAATGGTAGTTATGAATTCGATTCAGAATATAATTCTTGAATTGTACTATTTATTGTTGTGATAAAACATCCCACTAATTCAAGAAGTTTAATTCATATTTAAATCAAACCAATCATACATTTTCACGAAAAAAAACTTTCCTTTTTAATGAATGAATTGTTGAATGGTTTGAAGTCAAAGTGATACTTGAAGAATCAAAGGAAAATTACAATTCATGAAAGAAAAGATTCAGTACAATGTACTACCCTGCCACCCCCCACCCCTCCTACATTGTGAGATTGGTGCATTTGAAATAATTTTCTGATGAATTCTGTTTCATCTTTCAACATTATATTCTTCTTCAAACTAGTATTCATACGAATCTACTTTTTCTGCACATCAGCACAATTTTTGTGTGCAACAGTATGTGCACGTGTTTCACAAACACAGCATGTGTACACTTTGTGCCCACTAAATTATCTATCCGGATGTGTTTCCTATGCATGCGAATATATGTGTATACACCTATATTAAAATGCGTATATATATATATATATACATATGTGCAGAAGGAAAAAGTTCCCATACACTGTAAATTCACAAGTAATGCACGTTTTCAATAAATACAACACACACACATTACCACCATCGAACAGTTTGGAACAGTTTGATTGTTTCAACAAACAGTTTATTATTCATTTTGGAAAAGAAATTTTAACCAGTAAACAACCATATGGAAATTTTTAATATATATATATATAAATAGAGAAATTAAGAAAATTCAAATTATTCAGTAATATATATATTGTCAGTGATAAAAAAAATTACATAACATTATTGGTGTTTGTTAGTAACAAAATAATATGTCTGAATCTTTTTATCCAATACTTGACTCTGCATATAGACGAGAAGACTGTGGTATCCATTTAGAGTGTCATGTTAACTCAGATGACAGAATCACAGCAGGTAAGAATTTCATGCTTTACATTGTATCTGCATACATATGCTTTTCATCATACTATTAGGGTAAATTTACTTCTCTGTAAATTATAGTCGTGTAGAGGAAAAAAATACTATAATCACTGATGATGACACTTTGTTTCACGTGTTTTGTTGTTCTTCCATATTTTTTTCTCATGTATATTCCTAATAAAAATAATAATAAACAGTATCATTGAACATTGATATAGTTAAGTTAAATTGAATTCTCAATTTTAAATGATACGCGGATTAATTGTACATTGAAATTTAAAAATTCAAAATACAAACGGATTTATCAGTTATTATTCTATTCAATGTTTATTTGTACATAAATGTATACATTTAGAATTTTATTTTATGCGCTGATGAAATAAGTAAGTTACTATATTTTTTCCGTGGACTGTAAAACATATTTACATTTTTATCAATCACGAATTCTTATAGTACTCATCTAAAATAAGTAGTAAAGCTCTTGTCTATTGAATGGACTGGTTTGCTAGCGTCATAGAAACTGGTAATTTTACTTATGAAACTATAAATTCATGTAAAAGAGTTATTATGAACCATTGAAAATTAAGAGATTTGATCTCAAAATAATAAGTAGAAAATCACTGTAGTTAACAGTTTCATTGTTTAAGTCATGTACTACCAATCAAAAGTACTATGCAATGAACAACATCGTCTATAGAATGGTTTATTGAATTAATTTTTACTTATCATTTCAATAAAAAGATTATTAAACTATCATGTATTTTAAATACTCATCAATCTATCCGTGAATAATGATGACAAAAAGATTTCAAGCAAATTTAAAATCTTATACAGAGGTGGTCAGAAAAACGAATACATTGATGATTTAGATTCGAAATGTTTATTGACAAACACTTCAACTGTAGGGTACAATTACAAGTATGTATACTTGAAGTTGTTATGATGTATGCAGTATAGATGAGTTTGAACAACAGACATTAAAGTTTATGATGATCGTTTGACAGATCAGAGAAATGGTCACCATAAAATACTGGCTCTTCATTATTAATCATCAAAATCGATTACTTTTCATTATAAACAAGCAAAAAGTTTTAGCTGTCACTCCATGAAGCTAAGTAGTGAGAACTTTAGTTCATGGAACACTGGGACCCATTTAAATTATGTACAGTTGGTTAAAACTTTACCAAGTTCTTCGAAGTAACTCGCTAATTTGCTGTGAACTTACTTTTTTCATCACGTTTTAAACTATTTTAGTGTTAATATCTTTTATTCAGGTATTTAATAAAACACATTATTAATTCTATGAGAGAGCAAGTTTCCTTATAATCATAAGTTTCTTGTCTTCAGAACAGTCAAGAACGATTCAAGTTAAATCTGTAGCCTAATGATAGAGACTTTAAAAACGTGATTCGGATATCATATCGGATTAGCTGAGTGATTGTACTTTTAAAAACAATTTACAAAATTAGTTTTCTTCTCAAAACTTGATCATTGAATTCTTCACTGTTTAGCAGTGATTAGTGCATACAAAAACGAGGTTATATAGTCCTAGCCAAACGTTAAATTCCACGAAAAATTTCCAATTAGCGCTATTTTTTGTATATATATTTCTTTTTATACCATTTATTTTATTTCTTGATGTACACTGTCCAATAATTTAAACTACACTTTAACTATACAGGTGACAATTTCTCGGATCATATTTTACCTCCAAGTTTATTGACAACATCAACAAATGGTAAATTACGACCATATGCAATTTGTGCACCGACTCAAATTAATTCAATTACACAAAAATTTTATACTGATACATCGAAACACTCTTCAAATGTTCTATTCGATTCGTCGATTCGAATGCCAACTGCAAGTGGAACAAGAACAACCGCCAGTACAACACCGAATAGCACTTGTGATAATGCCAACACTAATCATCAAAATACAAATTATTCTCATTGTATTGCTACAAATTCTATGCTTAAATCTACTACAAGTTATGATATGTCGAAATTTACACTGCCTATAGACAAACACAGCAAACCATTTAAATTAAATGAAGATATAACAGATTTTCTAGGGAATAATACATTTAACTCAAATAATTCAATGTTCAGCAACACTACTAATCATCATATTAATACAATGAATTCAACTGTGAATTGTAATTTAAGAGATAAAGTTAAGAAACGTCGTAATCGAACTACTTTTACAAGTCATCAACTCAATGAAATGGAGAGAATATTTCAGGTGATTGTTTGTTTTGTTTTTTTCAATGTCACCCCACTTATTATTTGAAACGCTACACTTGTTGAAGTGGTTATAAGATAGTTCATTGTGATGGTGTTTCATTCTCTGAGCTGGATATTTTGGTTGTGAAGCTTTCATTGTTCTTCTTGTGAACAACATCGTCAGCACAAACTTCAGATGGATGACGATGTTGTTCAAAGGGACAATAAAAGCTTCACAACGAAAATATCCAGCTCAGAGAACGAAACTTCACCACAATCATCCCGCTGAGCTACAAATTTTTTCCACCATCTCAAGCTTGTTTATTAATTATGTCATTCCTAACTGTAATTTAGATTGCATATCAGGAACTTTGTATTGGTAAATAACTTAATTCTGCCCAAACTTAATAATGTTTTTTGCATGAGACTCAAGCATAATAAATGTAGTGTTTGTGTGAAAGTTTTATTCTACTGGAAATCTGACTGTATCGAAATTCTAGTCTTACGAAAACTAAATACTAAGTAGCGATAAAACACCTTTATTGTTGATAAATTAGTTTCTAGTTTTATTGTCACAATCATAAAGTTAGTAACTTGCCTTGTGTAATATTTATTCAGTGTACTCAAAGTCTAGAATCTAATTTTACAACTAATGATTGAGAAAACAAGCAATTTCCCTAACTGTTACATATTATGTTTTGTCCGACTGTTCAGTACTTAAATGCTCAACAGTATTTTAGTTCATCTCATAACTGTATGCAATATGTCTTCAAGGTTAATCTATCATTTGAAAAAAAATTCAAAAAGGTATTTTCAAAGAAATAAAATATTTTTAAAAAAAAGTAGGCATAATTCACTACATATCACTGACATTTTTTCTAGGCTTGAAATACTTAAATCGAATCACAACTACGGGTGTGACGATTACACAATCGAAATATGATTACTTTACGAAAAAGAGTCTGTGAATGATTTCAAGAAGATTATTTAACTAAATTACTCCTAATTAAAATGAGTGTGACATGTGATTTAATTGTATTCACATTATAAGATAACCGAAGACAATAAACTATTTTGAGTAGATCATCGTAGTGGGTACCTCTATAGCCATGGTAATTTAGCAGGTAACAATTGAATATTGTATTTTTATTAGACTAAAGGTTACATAGGTACATGACTATTTCAATCATAGCGTGACAAGTTTCAAAGTATCAAACCACGAATAGTTTTGTATATCAGATAAGATTAACAAATAGATATCTAAGTGATACATATGGTACACACACGAACTATTAGACATTCATATAAACTCCACAGCGTTAGACTGAGATGTTAATCATTGACTGAAAATTTTTCAAGCATAAAATTTTTTTTAAAAAAAGGCAAAATTTTCACATGTACATGACTGTATTTCCACAGTCATGAATGTCTGGTTGAAAATAACAGTAATTCACCTCCGAAATTTACCCTTCTGTAAATTTCTCTTGAAATAAACATTTTATTCAACTGATTTGCATTGATTTTCATGTGAAACTATTCGAATGTTTCATTTTCTTTCATTTGGTATTTCTGTTTAATCATCTGTAATGAAGAGTAAATCAAGCGGAAATGTTTGTGATGTACATTAAAAGTACAACAGTAATTTTAGTGTGTTAAAATAAGTTACAAACAGTTAACAATGACTGAAGTCAGTTTGAATCACTATTATATTGATTAATTTTAATTGTGAAATATAGAAGCAGTAATGATTCAGCAAATCATAATCTGATCTACCATTTGTACGCTACAGTAGATACTTGACTCGCAAAACAAGCAGTGACAAACTAAAGTATATAAAATAAACGTTTGTTCATTTCGGTTATATATTCCATGTCAAGGCAATTTTTTTCTAATCCCACTTCATGGGGACTCAAGTGTAGAATTTAACTAACAACTGGTTTGTGTCTGTAGATAGAGAAAAGTGTTCGTGACTTAGGAAATGGCGCTTTACTCGGGTTACTCTATGGATTTGGAAAGAGTAGTAAATACAGGAATTATCAGCCTCTAAAATAAACACAATGTATTTATTTGTTTTGAAAAAATGGTTAAAAACACCAGAAAATTAATCAGTCATTAGTAGATTACCATTGGAAACATGAAAGCACTGGCCAGCTGCTTCGTCCTAATGTGGGACTCTTTAGCATTGCACATTCATGGCCCACAATCATGAGAATCGACCTTCGGTTTCGCATGTGAACGCCGGCATCTAATGGTGTTAATGTTTAACTTTGAGGAACCTCACCCATTGTCTTCGGTCACGGAGAAAATTGGAAAATAAAATTCGAAAATTAATTTATAATTTAAAGCCAGTTTTGAAATACATGTAATAAAACATTGGGTCGCGTAATTCTGACTTGAATTCCACAGTTTGAAAAAAAAGGATTTTAACACTGATCAACTGAAGTCAACTAACAATAGGCACTAGGAAACCTAGTAATCAGTTAGGTTGAATAGTGTTAATAATGCAAATAAAAATATTGAAGGTGTTGGCTATAGACCATGATTTAAGAAATAAGTTACGAGAGATCCTCTAGCTGACAGGTGTTGATTTTGACTTACTTACTAACTTACTTTGATCTGTTACCCCCAATAGGACATATGCCTTTGACCAGTATTCTCCAACCTACTCCGTTCTGGGTGTCCCTTTCCAGTTCTGTCCGAATTTTGTTCATTCTCCCCATGTCTGTCTCCATTTCTCTGCGTAATATGTACCTTGGTCTTCCTCTTCTCCTCTGATAATGGAGATTTTAATTGAGAGCTTATCTTGTGATGCGATTGGGTGCTATCCTAACTGTGTGCCCTATCCACGTTTTGCGCTTTTTTCTAACTTCTTCTTCTTCTGCTGGAATCTGGTTTGTTCTCTCGCACAGTAGGTTGTTGCTGATAGTGTCTGGTCAACGGAACCAAAGTATTTTGCATAGACAACTGTTAATAAACACTCATAACTTCTAGATAATGGCTTTCGTAGTTATCCAAGTTTCTGCCGTATGTAGTAGAACTGTCTTGACGTTTGTATTGAAAACTCTGACTTTGATGTTGATTGATAATTGTTTTGAATTGCAAATGTTGTTCATTTGTAAAAATACAGCCCTTGCTTTGTCGATAGAAGTGAAATTATTTTTTTTGAATTAAATGAACTAATGAATGTTGAATGTTATTTGTTTTAAACAATCAAAAAAAGTGTAAACTTTAAACATTCATCATTCACATTGTATTTTGAAGACGTGTTCAATTTGAAAAGTGATTCGTAGTGAAACTGGAAAAAGAAATCTCCATACAACAAATCATAAAAATTTTGTTATTATATATCATACATCGAAAATTATTGACTTTTAATCAGTAGTACACTATCTAAACACAGTTTTAAAGACAAATAAATAAATAATTATTTTAGTGTCAAGAATTCATTCATTATTCTTGGGTGAATTTATTGATCGCGCTCAAAAACCACTAATTCAACTGGTTTTCGATCATAGATGTTTAAGAAGCATTGCTTGTATACCGTGCGACAACCGAGTAAGCAACGCTGTCGTTAGGAAACGGGTGCTAGGTAAGAATGGCAGATCAATAGATGAAGTAATGAAACTTCATCAGTTGAGGTGGTTGGGACATGTCTTGCGTATGCCTAACCACCGACTGCCCGAAGAGCTTTGTTTTGTAGTGTAGGAGTAGACTGGAAGAAAGCTAGGGGTGGCCAAACCAAAACATGGCAGAAATCCACGAAGTCATTGACGAGTGGACTTAGCAATGTCGGTAATTGTCGACTACCTGGTTGGGGGTCCGCGAGATGATAATAATCGATGGTTAGAGACCTTGAATGACATGGCTCAAAATCGTTCGCAATGGCGCCGGTGCATTTATTCTCTGTGTTCTCTCAAATCCTAATCTTGTGGATTCTTCAACACCTCTAGTTTTGACTTACCAAACTTTTCTCACTGAATCATACTTCTTGAATAATATCTTCTCATCCTAACCTCTCCGATTACTTCTACTACCTCTACTACCATTGGATTTGAATTGACGATTGCATCTCTCTGCTGATGTGGTATGGCAACACGAACTGATGTACTTACGTACCAAGTTCTACGTTGCATCTGACTGACTAATTCAGCTAACATATTCGCACATAGAGAGAGATGAAAGATACTAAACTGATGAAATCCTATGAATTATGAAATATAATTCATAGAAACCTCCATACACTTCTAATTACCTAATCTAAATAGTTGTTCAAAGTTCAAATCTTTCTTTATCCTATTATAGTTTATTTTTATTTAATTTTCTATCAAATGTTTTAGATACTAGACTCTTTTCCAAAAAATCATGAAGAAAAATAGCTTATGTTGCTAGGATTTTGAATACATATCTATTATTATCTAGTTTCGAACATGGATTTTGTATTGAACAAAATTTTTAGTCAGTTTGTATTTTATTTGATCATTTTTGGAGAATTTCAGTCCTAATTTAAAAGCCGAGTACAATAACTAGCCAATGGATAGTTGAATATCTTCAGTGTTGGTTTTAGAGATACTGATCACTTTGATTTACAAATCTATATCACACACACACACTCTTTTAGTTATCGTTCGTTGATACTTACCACTACATATGCACTACAATGCGCTGAAATTTAAGATGAGCTAATTGCAGAAGGATTAGTTTTATTTCGGAGAAAAAAAATAGCTAAAACTAAAAACAAATCCCGCCTCCATAATTATATCGGTAAGATAGATTATATTTGTAAGCAGGTTATTCAATAAAAAAAATACTATTTGGTATCAATAATAATAATAATAGTAAGGAGCTGTGTATATCCTCTAGTACTATTTTTTAAAAAACTCAGTATCCCATGAATCTAAATTATACAGATAATTTTCAGTTCATTTTTTTAAAATCATCACTGTTTCATCGTAATTTTTTTTTCATAGTTTTTAATTTTCGTGTTATTTTCATGCAAGAAATTTTATTTTATTGACTAAC